AGAGAGAATTGCTTCATCGCTGGGACAGGGAGTCTTGGGGGTTTGAGCCATTCGTGTCTAGGGAGAAGCCTTGCGGGGCGGAGTTTTGGCCGTTTGAGGCCGGTTGAGTGGGTTGGGAAGGAGTTCCCGCATCGCCATTCCGCAATGTCTGGAGCCCTTGCACCAGGCTCGTGAGTCGCTGAAGTAGTTGTGCAAGGACGGCGGAAGGAATCGTCGTCGTTTCCTCGTTTGTCGCAGCCGGGTTGGGCTGCGCTTCAGCCGCCAGATTCGTCTGACATCCAGATCCTCTGGCCATTCTTACACGTGATCGTGTGCCGGACGCCACTTTCCGAATGTCGCAGATTTCGGAGATGGCGGTGCGAAGGATTCCTGAGTCGCTCTCATACCATGCTGCGATCAGTAGTTGATTGTGGCCTAAGATCTACTCAGGAAGGTTGGCACGCAGAGAAGTGATGTTGGTGGGCCCTTAACCTCAATAGCAGAGTGAATGTAAAATGCTTTGAGATGAAGTAAAACATGCAAATACAGCAAATATAAATATGAGTACAGGGGAGATGAAACGACCTAGCTAGCCTTATACTCTAAGGGGTACATTCCCTTATTCAAATACGTTCCCAACTGTGCGGCGCGAACAGTTACGAAACTGTTCCCGCCGAAACCATCCTGCCTGTAGCTGCCTGATGCTGTCTGCTCCGACAGTTCAGATGCGTCCCAACTGTCTGACGCTTCGAGTCGTTTCCAACCGTCTGACGCTTTCGTATTCATTCGCGATACTGCGTGCTTCTCTTTGCTGCGGTGAGGGGTGCACAGTAATATTCAAGCATTACTATTCGTAACACATTCAACTACAATCTGGAGGCCCAAACTGAACGTACCGTTCAGATGACGGAGCATTCGAGTCGACACCAAACGCTCCTCGGAGTCCTTATACAACAGCACAAATGCCTCACTTTTTAAGCTTGTTCAGTCTGAGGTGTGCTATTGTAATAATATCAGCCAATGAGTTGTCTATTCCCGAGGTGGAGGTAACATCCGGCAGTAAACGCAGTCTATCGCTCGCACGTCGCTGCACGAAAGCCGCCGAAGTCGTAGAATCCATTTTGCGTGTGTCCACTTGGCACTTGTTCCGCCGAACATCGTCCCATTGGCTAGGTGGCACCAAACATGCTCCAACGAGTCGCTCAATACCACACCGAAGTACTTCGTGGCGATGTCGCACGGCTTCGGCCTGACAAACCACGGGGATAAAGAGGCTCGGATAGAGAGGCTCGACCTGTTTGCCTTTGGTTCCGAACCGACCCTGAACTTGCCTGCCATTGGTGTACGAGTGGCCGAAGCTTGGTTGGGCGCAGCTTCGGAGGTTGATGGTGAGAGCCCACAGAACCTTGTTTGGGGGAGTGCCTACGGGTCCCGGACCTAATAGAAGTTCAGAAATCGATGTTCCCCAAGAGGTTCCGTGTCGCATTTCCCCCAACAGGTGCATTCTGGAGGACTTCTAGCTACGGGTTGCCTGACAACCTCGAGGCTTGGTGGGCATGAGCTGACCTGACATTCGCGTTGCACACATCCGCCTCGAATCTCTCCTCCTCTCCCGCCCGCTCGCACCTGGATCAATTCAACAGCCAGGGCTGGCTGGCTGTGATAATCACCAGCAGCCTTTTTCCCAGGTCGCATGATGTCTTGGCTTTCTTCCTACGTGACGCATCTCACACTAAACCTCCACCAGTACTGCTGGGCCATCTTGTAATTAATGGAAGGATGTCGACACGCTCAATGCGGATTCGTACACACTTTGCTCCTTAGTGCTCGTTGAGGAAAGGTTGACCACTCGAGCGACGGATCGAGCCAATACAAAATTCCCGCTAGTCATGGAGCGGCGTGCGTATTCGCCGCTACCAGCGCAAACCCGCAACTCTTTCGATGAGCCTATCGCGAGCCCGCTTCGCACGGGCTCCACCAACCGCAGCGGGAAAAGAAATTGGAGCCCTCTTTCGGGGAACTTTCGCCTTTTCAGTCTGGAGGAATCAAGTCAATGCGGCTCGAAACGCGTAAAAGGCGACGATTCGTCGACGGCGCCGGTTGCGGGGATCCACTCATTTATCGCAATCGGAGTTGTCCTCGCCATAGTGTTTGTCGCTACGTTAGCAGCCATGGGGAGAGTCGTGCAGCTTTCGCTCTCACAGAACATGCAGGGTTCGCGGAACCTTCTCTCGTCGTCGAGTGATGTCACAGTAGCCATCACTAGCCACGACTGGAAAGATAGTGCGAAGGGTATCGGCGCCGGCAAAAGCGCCGTGGATGGCGGAAACGAATTCGACGGGGTGGATAGCTGGCGAGGCGCGTTCGCCGGGGAGGTGGTGACTGTGGAAGAGGTCCGAGAAGACAAGGGGGAAGCGAAACGGCGGAAAGGCAACCGGGGAAAATCGAAGAAATCGAAGGCGGGGGAAAAGCGAGGAGAGGATGCGGCGGTAATGGGGCGCACGGGTGATCAGGGTAGCAAAAAGGGGAAAGGACTGGTTGTTGAGATTGCGGAGAAGGAGAAAGGGAAGAAGCGGGAAGAGATGGTGATCAAGGTTGGCGGGTTGACCAAGGAAGCGAAGAATGACACCCGCGAGAAGAGAGGCGAGACAGGCGAGGAGGGGGAATTGAAGGGATCAGACAGCAGAACGGAGGAGCAGCGTGATGAGCGGCGGGAGGAGGGGATAGAAAAGGATCACGTAGGGAAGGAGGAGAGTGCACGGGATAGCAGCAGCACGCTGCATACCGACAGCACGCGGCAGGAGAGCGGCACGCGGGAGGAGAACACGACGGGGGAGGGAGGGCGTGAGATTGGTAGCGATACGCGGCAGAAGGAGGAGGTCGGGGGGAAGGCGGAGGCAGCTGCTGGCGCGCATGAGGGGAAACATAGCAGCCCAGGGGCACAGGCAGCCAAATCGGATGTCGCATGGGAAGCGGATGTCGCACCGGAAAGAGAAGCAGCGGGAGAGTCAAAGGCATCAGGGGAGGCGGGGGCGGCATCAGGGGAGGCGGAAGTCGGCATCAGGGGAGGCGGAGTCGGCATCAGGAGAGGCGGGGCCGGCATCAGGGGAGGCGGAGACGGCATCAGGGGAGGCGGGGGCGGCATCAGGGGAGGCGGAGTCGGCATCTGGGGAGGCGGAGTCGGCATCAGGGGAGGCGGGGGCGACATCAGGTGGTGGAGTTAGCGACGCTGCAGTGATCGCTGTGGCCGAGGTGCGACCCTCACTGGCAGACACTCCCTCGCTGTCATGCCTGTACGCATGTGTCATGTGTACCCACGCTCGGTGAAGTGCATACGCATACTCACGCTCCGTGTCTCTCTATCCACGCTTCCCCGCCCTTCCTGGTTCTGCATCCCTCTTTACTTCCGCCCCCCCCCTCTCCCCCCTTCTTCTTTCCCAGGGCAACCTAGGCGCACGCCTGCAGGCGCTTTGCCTTGCGCCCGCCGTCAGCGCGGTGTGGGGCGCGCGCGCACCGGGGGAGGCGGATGCGGGGAAGAAGGAAGGGGATAAGGCGAGGGAGGTAGCCGTTGTGTGGAGTGACTCAGCGGTCGCGGATGCTGACGTGGACGGAAGTGCTGCTGATTCCGCTGGCGGCAGTCCCAAGAAGGGACCCGCAGGGGAGGGGTTCTTGGATTTATTCAGCGGGTTTCCCGGTGTAGATGCATTACGGTTAGACGAGAAGGATAAGGCTGCTTGGCCGAGTGTGACTGTAACGGGAGCAGCCTCTGCTGCTCCTCTTTTAGAGTCACGGAAAGAGGTGCAAGTCTCGTTGCCGGCCTGTGTAGACGAGGGGTCGGAATCGGCCAATACGAGCGCGACAAGCGGCAACAGCAGCAGCAGCGCGGAGGTGCCCGGATTGTCGTTGTCGCTGTGGGTCCCTTCTGGACTAAGCCACGTGGCAAGCAGAGAATGGGTGAGCTACTCGGAGTCTCAATTCTTCTTAAACACTTTTAAGTCTCATTTCCCACGCCATGCGTCTTTCTCGAACTAAGTTTGCCACCGTACTGCACTCCTCGCCACAAGTGTTCCCCCCCCTCTCTGGAACTTCCTCTCCCCCGGTCCCCCCAACCCTTCGTTTTCTCCCCTTCTATTTCCTTTCCCCTTCCCGTCCTACCCCCTATCGCCGCATCTCCCCCCAGACCCCCCCCGAGGCATGCTCCGCCCTCCGCCTCTTCCAGTCTTGCCTGGGCGCTCTGCAGCCCTCGCCACGTGTCAGCAGATTACTGGAGGAGGGAGCGCTGGGGGAAACGGGAGCAGCTGCTGGGAGGTCTGAGGGGGAGATAAAGGAGGGTGGGGGAGGACGGGTAAAGGGGGGATCTAGGGAGAGACTAGCTCGTAGCACGGCTGTGTATCTGGAAGCCAATCAGGTGATGCCAGGGGGCACGTGCGGAGGGTGCCCCGAGGACCCTCTACTCAACTGCACGCTTCGCGCGCTGACGTGGCGCTACCTGCGCGTGCCGTCCAACTCGTCTGACGTGGACTTCACTGTAGCAGCTGCCTCTGCTACAGACGCTGCTACAGTCGCAGGCACCTTCCATCCCCTGCGCGCCCCCCTCCTCCTCCCCCACACTGCTGTCAGAACGGCCATGGGTTGCCCCTTGAGAAGACCTCCCTCCTCCTCCTCCTCCTCCTCCTCCTCCAGTGCGTCGCCCAGCAGCAGCTCTGCTGCGTCTGCCTCTTCCGATTCCTCACCACCATCCTCATCCTCCTCATCACCATCACCACCATCCGCATCGTCTTCGTCGCGGCGACTGTTGGCGCTTAAGGGAGGGGAGAAGGAGCACGAGGAGCAGGAGAGGAAGTCTGGTTCACCGGCTGAGTGGTCTGGGAGCGACAGTAGTGAGAACAGAAGCAGTGGGACGAGGAGCAGCAGCAGCAGCAGCAGCAGCAGTGGGGAGAGCAGGGCGGAAGGGCACGAATGGAGTTGTGGTCAACTGGAGGTAAGCATCGCTGCTGGTCGTTGCATGGATGTACGTATGCATGGATGTATGGATGAATGGATGCATGCACTTTCCAACCTACCATCCACCATCTCACCGCTCTCTCTCTCCGCTTTCTCTCTCTGCCTTCTCCATCCGTCGTCTCCCACCTTCTGTCCTCTCCACCCCCATCCCTCAATCTCCTTCCATCACACACCACCAGCTGGCGGAGCTGCTGCTGCTGTCGTGGGCTCGAGGGCTCATCCACTCGCGCCCCTCCGTGGAGGCTCTCTTCATTGCCGCCCAGGGGAAGCACCGGGCGAGTCAGAGCAGCAGTGTGGGGGGAGATGTGGGAGCCTCTGCAGAGGCTGCTGCTGTCCGCCCTCTGGCAGCCGCGTTTGTGAAGGAGGAGAGTGTGTGCGCTGCCCCTCGTGTTGCCCGGTTTGTGGACCAGAAGTACCTGCAGCAGATGCTCGTCGATGGTGAGTGAGCCTCAGCCTTGTGCTTGACGTGACCCAGTTTCTTTTGTTTTTGTGCATGAATATGCATAGCTATGCATACTTCTGCCCGCACATGTACTGGAGAGCGATGGGTTTGTGGACCAGAAGTACCTGCAGCAGATGCTCGTCGATGGTGAGCTTGCTTTTCCCCCCACTTGACATAACCGGAAGTAACTGCATTCGCTCTAAATGCATGTGGAATCACATTCCTGGTGCTGGCACGTCTTTGCGACAAGGTGCCGAATCTGCCGCTGTTGCTGCCTCAAGTGCCTCCCATCCCTTCTATCCCATGCAACATCCCAGCCTCCAATTGAATCTGCTGCTATCTCCTCTCTCCTCCGCCCCACACACCTCAGAGGAGCTCAAGGTGGTGTACTGCTTTGTCCCCAAGGCGGCCTGCACGAGCTGGAAGGTGTGGTTCCGCCAGCAGCTGTCCAAGCGACTCGGCAGCATGAAGTCATACGGCGTGCCGGAGCGAATCATCGTACACAACCCGCAGCAGAGCGGGCTGAGCATCATGGGGTACGGGTTTGAGGAGCACGACAACATTCGCTTCCTCACCCGCCCGGACTTCTTCAAGTTCTCGTTTGTGCGCAACCCGTTTACACGGATTGCATCGGCGTATCTGAACAAGCACGTGGACGGGGGGTATCCGCACGACCGCAAGTACTGGAACGAGGTGAGGGCTTTTCTCTGATGATTTTCCACATGTGTGTTAGAACATAAAGGATGGAGGGAACAAGCTGGAACCGACTGGAACGTAGTGTGGCTGGTGTGGTGTGGTTGGAGTGTTGGGATGCAGCATGGCAAGGAAGCTGTGCATTCCCGTTGCTTACTCCCTGCCTCTCTCTCCCTGCTTATCTCTCCCTGTCTGCAGCGCTTCTTTGCAGGGCTACAGGCGTACAACGAGCTCATGAAGAGCCAGAACGGTAGCGACTTCATCCCCTTCTCAACCTTCATGTCATTCCTCCAGATGCAAGCCACACGCTATGTAGCGCGCATGGACCCCCACGTCCGCCCCCAGGTATGTCCCTTCACCATTCCTCTGCCTTCCTCCCTTTGCCCACTCTCCCTTCACGCACCCTATCTTTCATTCTCTCGATCCCTCCCCTCTTGGTTTCCTTCCTCCTTTGTCTTCTCGCATCGTTTCTCCTTTTGAGAGCCATGCATTCCCCTACCTGGTCATTGTATGTGCTCTGATTGGCCAAACACCCCTTGCTCCCTGGTTTGATTGCGAGTTTCAGATCAATCTGTGCAAGCTGAATTCGATCCGATATGATTTTATTGGGCGGTTTGAGAATCTAGAGGAGGATGTGGCGAAGGTGATGCGGCAGTTTGGGAAGGAGGGGAAAGATGCCTTTAATATTGGCCATGGCGCACACCCAACTAATGCGTCGGATAAGCTTCTCGAGTTATATGACCAGGTGAGTCTAATGGTGTACGATTAACTCCTTGAAGTTGCATATTTGAGGGCACATGCACAACCAACATTTGTTTTAATCCCTTTTTGTTATGTGCAGGGAGCTTTTGAGGCTGCTATGGTCGCATACAAGACAGATTTCAGTGTGTCTTTAAATGGTATAGAGTATGGACCGCCACAAGCTTTAGTGGAAAAGTTTGGCTCTGGAACGAGTTAAATATAACTTATATATTATGTTATGGCTGGTGCAAATGCACCCGCTTATATTATTATTATTGTTGTGGAGTCCCCTCATTTAGTGTGTCGCTTGAAGTGAAGTCTTTGGCCGTGTGCGAGTGACTTCTGAGTTTGACTGTTGCCTGCCCCTCGCGAATCTATCGCGCCCACTCCCAATGCCCGAGCCGCACATATGCAGCATGTCAATCGGCAAGTTCATTCGCCTCGCCTCGCCTCGCCTCGCCACCCATACCATGATGCGCGGCAACGTAAAGGAGACCTGCTTCGCAAACGCGCAGGAGCCGACGAAATTGGGACAAATTTGCTGGTGTGCGACACGAATGGTAAAGGGTTTACGTGAGAGATTGACGAGGGGGGAGGTGTCGCATAAGTCGTAAGGGCTGTCAAATGGTGGCTGTCAGTCGCAACCAATCAGTTTCCGCCTCACACATACCCATTTTCAAGCAGCCGATTTTCAAGGCGGAAAAATGAATGTGTACCTTCCCTGTCAGCCAAACCTATCACCAGATCCTACGTTCCAGCTTCACGTGGTTGAACGTGTCTTTGAACGGTTCTGAACAAATTGTCAGTATTTCAGTGCGGTGACGAGCCGTATTCGAGTCGGACCTTCAAGAATCTCACCTTGCACCCAACCAGCTTGTTCCCTCCCTACGCTTTTGTCCAAGCCACAATCCGTGAACGGGCGGTCCAACACTTGGAACCAGCGCAATTCCCACGACCCCCCTTGTTTTTTTTTTGATTTGCTTCCTTGCTCTTAGAGGGCGCTCCCTCTCACTGATCAGTGGCGACATGGCAACGCCGGTTTGATCGATGCGACTAGAAATTAGTGTACTAACCCTAGCCTCCACATCTTTCATGGTATCAGGAGAAACGATGTCACGTATTCGTGTCTAGTCTGCACCTCCTCTTCGAAACGCCCTCAAACGGACGTCGCTTGATTATACAACATTCCCGGTTTCCTTGCGAAGCTTTTAACGTATACAAAGTATCGCAGCAATGCTACGAAGTCCAGAGTATCACGGCCGCGATGGCGGAAGCATCTCCCGTGCTGCAGCCTGCCGCTGGTCCCCCGCTATCCCGAGCCCCGGATACTGGCAGAAGCTCCGCGGAAAGAAAGACTTCACAGACTCCGTGCGGTTCGGGTGTTTCGTGTCGCTAGCTCTCGCGTCGGCGGTTGTTGTAGCGCTCGCGGCTGTGATGATAGTCTCGCCGCAATCCCCGCAAAAGCTGCTGCTTAACTCCGCGTTTTCCGCGTCCTCCTCGTTGCCGATTCTTCCGGCGAAGAATGCGGCGACAGATGCGGCGACAGATGGGAGCTCATATGAGATTCGCGCGGAACGAAGCAGCATGCCGGAGACGAATAGCGGCGTGGCTGTCGCCATAGCGGAGGTACGAACCAGTAACGTGTAGGCTTTTCGTGAACTTATAAAGGGTAGATCGTACGGCTCATTGCTCACAGCTCTTAGGGTAAACTCACAAGTTACATCAACGGTTCACAGGCTACAGTAACGTGTCAACTCCACGGCGAATCAGCGGCATGTCGCAGTCACTGCTTGACACGCCTCCGCGCAAATTGCTCTCCGCGTTCTCCCACCGATTTTATTATCGTTCCCCCAACGTTCTTCTCCGCTTTCCCCCATCCTTCTTCTCCGCGTTCCCCCGACAGGGCGATCTTCCCGCGCGAATGCAGACCCTCTGTCTCGCACCCGCGGTGGCGGCAGCGCTGTGGCGCCGCCAGCAGCAGCGGACGGGGGAGGGGTGGACGCAACCCGCGGGTACGCGCCTTGGGCTTCGCGCAGGGGCGGAGGGAGCGGAAGGAGAGGCCATGCGCATTTCGATAGTGTGGGCGCAAAAAGCAGCAGAACGCGGAGCGGAAGGGGGGAATGCGGATGTGGCGTTCCGCGCGCTGTTTCAAGGTCCGCCCGCGCGCAGCCGAATGGAGCTTCCCCGCGGACTGGCGGAGTATTGGCCGGATGTGACCGTGTCGGAAGGGCCAAGCGGCGAAGACGGAGAGCGCGAATCGCGGGAAGGGTTGGAGGAAATCACAGTGAGTACTGGGTGCTCATGTGTGGATAAGCCACTTACCCCTCCCGTCAACCTGATTACACTTCTTGGCATTTTGTATTTCGAAGCGCCTCCACAGTCGCATTCTCCGCCTGATTGGATGCCTTGTGATACCGTCCTCTATAGATGATTGTTAAAATGAACCTTGCTCATTAATTTGTCCTCTCCCGACGCTCCTCGTTGATTACGCGTCCCTCTTCCTCGCCGCTCCCCTCGTCTAATCAATCCCCACCGCTGGAAACATTCGTCCTTCCTTCCCATCGTTCGTGCTAGGTGAACGTGCCTCATTGCTCGGAAGATGCGACCAACGGGAGCGCGACACCTGGCACGGGATTCGTGCATCCGGGCTGGAAGGTGTCGCTGCGAGTGCCACGTCATCTGAAGACGCTCAGGCACCAGGATTGGGTAGGTAACAGGGGGCGTAAGTTAAAACCTGGTACGATGCGAGTTGAGACTTTTAAGCAGCCTAGAGATTCGATTGATGCTCAAACATTTTGAGGCGCCTCAAAAGGGGCTGCATTTAAATGCTTCGAGCCCTCAAAACAGTGGTAGATTTCGCGTATAATTAGTCGAGTTTTGAGTCGACTCAAAACTCGACTCATTAAATGCTTCGAGCCCTCTAAACAGTGGTAGATTTCGCTAATCACGTGCTCACCATCCTATGCTCACCATCCTATGCTCACCATCCTATGCTCACCATCCTATGCTTACCATCCTATGCTCGCCCACAACCTCGTAGCCCCTTTTCTTTTGAAATCTTCTCCTCCACCTCTCGCACTCTCCTCCCGCCCTCCCCGTCCCCTGTGCTTCTCCCCCCAGACACCCCCCGAGGCATGTTCCACCTTCCGCCTCTTCCAGTCATGCCTGGGAGCTCTACATCCCTCGCCACGTGTCAGCAAATTATTGGATGGAGAACTGGGGGAGGAGCAGGAGGATGAGGCCGAAGGAGCAGGAAGCACAGTGTCACTTTTCTCCAGGCTTAAATCGAGTAGAGCAGTGTACCTTGAGGTGAGCGAGGGACCAAGATATGTCGGTGGTGCTCTCTTCTAGATTCACGTTCTAAGCATTTAACAATGCATGGTGCTTTGCTAAAAAAATTGCCTGTGTTTTTGTGCTTATTGACAGGCCAATCAGGTGATGCCGAGTGGCACGTGCGGGGGGTGCCCCGAGGACCCTCTACTCAACTGCACGCTTCGCACGCTGACGTGGCGCTACCTGCGCGTGCCGTCCAACTCGTCTGACGTGGACTTCACTGTAGCAGCTGCCTCTGCTACAGACGCTGCTACAGTCGCGGGCACCTTCCATCCCCTGCGCGCCCCCCTCCTCCTCCCCCACACCCGCAAGCGCATCAGCCTGGGCTGCCCTGCCTCTCCCCCTCTTTCCGCCTCCCTTTCTTCTGCTCCCTCTCCTCCTCCACTCTCTACCTCCTCTCGACGATCCAGCAAGAACAGCGAGCAGCATAGCGAGGGCGAGGAGGAGAGCGAGCGAGAGGAGCAGCTGGAAAGCGAGGTGCAGAGGGAGGGCGAGGTGCAGAGTGAGGGGGAAGAGGGAACTGGGAGCGGGGAGCAGAATGAGGGCGAGGTCGGAAGGGAGAGCGAGCAGCAGAGCGCGGGCGGGCAGACGAGTGAGGGCGAAGGGGGTCCAGCAAAGGCAGTGCGGCGAAGATGGGTGCTGGAGGAGGGAGGAGATGCAGAGGATGCAGGGAGTGAGGGGAGTGAGGGGAGTGAGGGGAGTGAGGAGGCAGAAGACTTGCAGGGGGAGGAAAGGGAAGAGGAAACGGGGGCGGAAGAGCAGGCGGGAGGAGATGAGAGGGCTGGGCAAGTCACGATGAAAGAAATGGGCGACAGTGATAGCAGCAGTGGCGGCACCCATACTAGCAGCCGCAGCAGACGCGGAAGAAAAGGCAGGAGCAGCACAAGCGCGAGCAGCAGTGGTACTGGCAGTACCACCACGACTGGCACCTCCGGCAGTGGGACTGGCAGCACGAGCAGCGCTGCTGCTGCTGACCTGACGGAGTGTCAGCAGCTGCAACTGGCGGAGCTGCTGGTGCTGTCGTCTGCTCGAGGGCTGCTCCACACGCGCCCCTCTGTGGAGGCACTCTTCATTGCCGCCCAGGCCAGGGCGCGGATCAACCAGAAGGCACTCCCTGCTGCTGCTGCTCCTGCCACTGATGCTACTGCTGCCGCTGATGCTGCTGTGGCTTCTGGAGGTTCGTTGGGGGAAGCTGGTTTCTCCACTGCGGCCTTGTCTGCATCATCCTCGTTTGTGGTGGATCCGTCAGTGTGTGAAGCCCCTGAGCTGGCGCCCTTCAAGAACATGTGGTTCCTCCGACAGTACCTTGTGGATGGTGAGTGCTTTCTGTGCCCATAATTTGGGTCCAGTGATCCGTCTGACTCCTCACCTGTCCCTGCTGATTACCATAATGGCAGTACCTTGTGGATGGTGAGTGCTTTCGTGGATGGTGGTACCTTGCGCACAATTTGGGTCCAGTGACCCATCTAAACCCTCACCTATCCCTGCTGATCACCATAATGGGCGTTCTGTGGAGAATGATGTTGGCACTTTCGGACCCTTTACCCGCTCCCTATCCACTCCCCCAACTCCCCATCTGACGTTCTCATTCCCCTTCCTTGCCACCTCGGTTCTCCCACTCCCATCCTCCCCATCCCCATATTGCAGAGGAGCTAAAGACGATCTACCGCTTTGTGCCCAAGGCAGCCTGCACGAGCTGGAAGGTGTGGTTCCGCCAGCAGCACAAATCTCCATCCTCTACCCTCCTCCCCCTCTCTATCCTCTCTCTCCCTCTCCTGTATGTCCCCCTTCCCTCTCCCATGTTATCCCCCTTCCCACCCTTCCATGTTCAGAGGAGCTAAAGACCATATACTGCTTCGTGCCCAAGGCAGCGTGCACGAGCTGGAAGGTGTGGTTCCGCCAGCAGCACAACCTGCCCAACATCTCCGACGTCTACCTCGCCCACGACCCCAAGCACTCAGGCCTGCACGTGCTCGCGTCCGGATACACCGAATCTGCCGTCATGGCGCTCCTCACCCGCCCGGACTTCTTCAAATTCACGTTCGTGCGCCACCCGTTTGCGCGCCTGGCGTCCGCTTACCTCAACAAGCATGTGAACGGGGGGCCGCCGCAGGGGCGGGCGTTTTGGAACAAGAGGTTCTTCCATGGCACGCGGCCGTTCCGGTGGTTGGTGGAGCATCAAGGGGGATCGGATTTGCTGCAGTTTGGCGACTTTGTGGGGCTGCTGCGGACCATGTTCAAGAGGAGACGCCGCACCATGGACCCCCATGTTGCCCCTCAGGTAGGTCGCTATTCCTCGTTTCAGAGGAACTAAAAAATAGTCCCTGCCTTTATTGACCATGTTTCAGAGGAACTAAAAAATTCCTTGCCCCTTTGCCACATCCTTCTCCCCTTCCCTCCCCACCCACCCGAACCCCCGTGAAACCTATTGTGTTTTCAGGTGGACGTCTGTCGGTTGAACGACATTCGGTTTGACTTTGTGGGTCATTTTGAGAACCTGGCGGAGGATGTGCCCGTGGTGATGCAGCGCCTGAATCGTACTATCACGTCTGAAGCGTTCTCCATTGGGAAATCAGCGCACCCCACTAACGCTCGCGACAAATTCCTTGATCTATTCGACAAGGTCAGTTCATGTCAATGTATCTCGTTACATGGTCCCATTTCACCAGTATACACCATTCTCATGTCGTAATCTCTCCCTGTTTGCTTGGTGGTTTTGCAGAACGCGTATGACGAAGCAACTGAGTTCCTCTCCATAGACATGAACGTGTCGCTGAACAACATATCGTTTTCACCTCCCCCAAGATTACTTGAGCTCTTTGGGGAAGTAAATAAGGCACGTGCTGGTCGCAATAAGCGGCGTAGTTAAGGCATAGAACGCAAAATAAAAACAGGGAAATTAAGATTCTTAGGGCTTTTGGTTAGGCACATACTGTATGATAGTTTGGATTGGTGGCACATATAAGATGCCATGCACCGAACAGAGTGTAGGTTGAAGGTGCTGTTTACCGAAATTGTCAATACGTCATGCTGGCTCATATCCCTGGGAACACTGAGCGTGAAATATTCAGGGAAGTGGAACGAAGCTTGCGCTACTGCGAGGATCGCCGCGGGCAAATAGAATTTTGACGAATACGGTAACCGTCTAGCGAAATCAGAACTGCGTCTCCACACCCACCACAGTCCAAACCACGTCCTCAGGAGTACCGAGTCGAGCCCATCAGAGTTGTAAAGCATCCCAAAATAAGAACCACAGAAAGTATCGCACTTCCCCAACTTTCTCCCACTTTCTCCCATATCGAATCCAGCAAATTTTCCCCAGCGCGCAATGTCTGCAGAAGGATCCGAGGCGGCGGCAGCCGCGCAGGCCGCACCAGAATCCTCCTCCACTCCCGCTCCCGCTGCTGACGTGGATCAGCTTGCAGGATCGTTCAATGGGTGCGATTAGATTCCCTTATTCCCTCACCCTGCTCACCCTTTCCCTGCTGGTCCATTCCCGAGGCCACTCGCTTTCGGCCAGTGCTATGCGTCTGGCCCGCAGAGCCATCGCCTTCATGTCGTCGCTCCGACTAAGAAAGAGTTTCTTTCGGTTGGTGCGATGCAGGACGGACGGCGTAGCAGGGGTTCAGGGTTGCGCAGTCTCGCTCTCCCTCTAGCTCTCCGCGTCGCTCCCCCCCTCAACCCCCCGCTCTCCCCCTCGCTCTCACTCTCTCTCAGTCAGCTTCTCTTTGTGATCACTTCCACTGAGCGAGCTCGATTCCCGCCTTTCGCCGTCCACGTGGCAGGATGACATTGGACGAGCGGTACGCGCTGGTGCGGAGCGTGGGGGAGGAGTGCATTCAGGAGGACGAGCTGCGCAACCTGCTGCTCAAGAAGAAAGACCCCGTCGCCTACGACGGCTTCGAGCCTTCCGGTCGCATGCACATCGCACAGGTAGGTCGCACACGTCGCATGTCGCACAGGCGTGGGGGAGGAGTGCATTCAGGAGGACGAGCTGCGCAACCTGCTGCTCAAGAAGAAAAACCCCGTCGCCTACGACGGCTTCGAGCCTTCCGGTCGCATGCACATCGCACAGGTAGGTCGCACACGTCGCACAAGTGAGTCGCATGTCGCACAGGCGTGGGGGAGGAGTGCATTCAGGAGGACGAGCTGCGCAACCTGCTGCTCAAGAAGAAAGACCCCGTCGCCTACGACGGCTTCGAGCCTTCTGGTCGCATGCACATCGCTCAAGTAGGTCGCACGTCGCACAAGTGAGTCACCCGTCCCCGCATCCCCAACTCCACCACTTCCCCCAACTTCACTGTCTCTTCTCCTCCTTTCCCCACCAACCCCCCACCTTCCCCCAGGGAGTGACGAAGGCCCTCAACGTGAACGAGCTGAACCAATCAGGATGCACTTTCAAGTTCTGGGGACTGGTTCGCCACATTACCTTCCCTCACCTCACTCCACCACTCTCGACCCCCCTTCCCCCTCCATCACCCAGGGAGTGATGAAGGCGCTGAACGTGAACAAGCTGACCCAATCAGGGTGCATCTTCAAGTTCTGGGTGGCGGACTGGTTCGCGCAGCTCAACAACAAGATGGGCGGCGATCTCAAGAAGATCCAGACTGTTGGTCGGTACATGATGGAGGTGTGGCGCGCAGTGGGCATGGACCTCACGCGAGTGGAGTTCCTGTGGTCGTCCGAGGAGATCAATGGGCGCGCAGGGGAGTACTGGCCTCTGGTCATGGATATCGCCAGGAAGAACAAGCTGCCCCGGATCCTCAGGTATGGACTGACCTGCCTCAGCGCAGTGGGCATGGACCTCTCGCGAGTGGAGTTCCTGTGGTCGTCGGAGGAGATCAACGGGCGTGCGGGGGAGTACTGGCCGCTTGTCATGGACATTGCCAGGAAGAACAAGCTCCCCTGGATCCTCAGGTACGGTCAGTATGGAATGGATTGACCTTCCATGAGCCTTGCTCTTCCTCAGAGCAGTGGGTAAAGACCTCTAGCGTATGGAGTTCCTGTGGTCGTCTGAGGAGATCAGCGGGCGTGCCGGGGAGTACTGGCCGCTTGTCATGGATATCGCGAGAAAGAACAAGCAGCCAAGAATTCTCAGGTGGGGAAGCATAGGAAAGGGGCCTAGGAACGGGGGAAGACAGGGGGGGGTGGGCGTGCTTTCCTCCAAACCGTTTCTTCCCTTCGCCTGATTTCGCCTTGATTCCCCACCTCTAACCCTTTCTGCTGCACTCCCTCCTTGGATGGAGCCCCTCAGGTGTTCGCAGATCATGGGGCGCAGTGAGACGGACGAGCTGTCGGCCGCACAGATCTTCTATCCCTGCATGCAGTGTGCCGACATCTTCTTCCTCAAGGTATCCTCTCTGCACATACACACACACACACACACACACACACACACACACACACACACACACACACACACACACACACACACACACATACACACACACACACACACACAGAACCATGCGCTTCCTTGTTATGAGCCTTTGTTGTGCACTTTGCCGAGGCACACAAGCGAAAGGCGTCTGCATAACCCATCCGTGGGTCATCTTGCCTCACCCTTTCCATATGCAAATGGCAGGCGGACATCTGTCAGCTGGGCATGGATCAGCGCAAGGTGAATGTGCTGGCGAGGGAGTATTGCGACGACATCAAGAGGAAGATGAAGCCCATCATCCTCTCCCACCGTAAGCTTATTTTCGGTTCAGTGCTGCACAGCTGGCTGTAGAGGCATTGTGCTCTTTATATCTCGTCATGATACACTCTCAGTTCGTTCTGCTTATTCGTTTACTGATGCTTTGCCCCTGTGGCTCCTTTGCGCATTCAATGTCTGCGGTTCGGTGTGCATGCAGACATGCTGCCGGGGTTGTTGCAAGGGCAGGAGAAGATGTCAAAGAGTGACCCCAACTCTGCAATCTTTATGGAGGACGAGGAGGTAAGACGTTTTGGATGCAGCGGGTGGGGGGACTAAGCTGAAATCTTGGTCAGGGGGAAAATGTCACCCAAGGCACGGCGTCACCACCCCAAAAGTGCCTTCTGAAGCTTGAGCACTTGGTTGTTGATGTATCTAGTTGCTGGTGTATCTGGTAATTCGCTCCACTTTTCACCATGCACTGTTTCTGGCAGGCGGAAGTGAATGTGAAGATCAAGAAGGCGTTCTGCCCGCCAGGGGAGGTGGAGGGCAACCCGTGCATTGCCTACGTGCAGTACATTGTGCTGCCGTGGTTCAAGCAGTTTGAGGTGGAGCGTAAGGAGGAGCACGGAGGCAACGTGTGAGTAAATTGGGAATGCTAACTCTCAAGCTGTCACTCACTCACCGTTGTGCCTGCTGATGGCTGGTCCTTGCACTTATTTGAAATCTCCATTGTGTGACCCAATGGTTCTGGGACTCCCTTGGCATTATCTCCCCATACTGCTTTTCCTTCCCTGTTCTTTTCCCATTTTCCCTGTTCAGCATTTACACCGATGCTGATCAGCTCTGTGCAGACTACAAGGATGGTAAACTCCATCCAGGTGACCTCAAGCTGGCGCTTTCCAAAGCAATCAACAAGATTCTCCAGGTGAGTCCATGAACCACTTAGTGCTTCCCTGTCATTACACTTGTACTATGATGCTCTTTTTCCTGACCTCGAGCATTGCTGTGCAGCCTGTACGAGACCACTTCAAGACAAACCCTGACGCAAAGAAACTGCTGGCACAAGTGAAGGTAAGTGACGAGTTTTCATGGCTATCAGGAGTTCTGCTGTACATAAACTCGCTGATTCCTTTCCTCGTTGCCTTTTTGTTATGCAGAGCTACAAGGTTACAAGGTAGCAGCAGTGAAGCTGCTGGTAGTGTCTCTCCATGTAACTTACCGTATTCTCCCGGATAAAACACCCCCCCGTAATTGTACACCCCCGGGTAGCTAATACAGGGTGGGTGTTATAATTGACCTCGTTTGTATTATACCCCCCCTTTTGGGGTGATTTTCTATAACACCCCCCTTTTCTTATAGATTCCTATTATAGCTGTTATCGAGTCCGATTCCTTGCAGGAGGATATCGCGAGAATCTCTCCCTAGAAGCTCTCCCGAGAATTTCGCATGTACTTTCACTTAGAATCTGCCGAGATTTCCCCCCCCCCCCCTCCCACAATCTCGCTGTCGCCACGCTGTCGAATCTTCCACTGCAAGTGGTCCAAGAGGTGGAGTGGCCCTAGTGGCCCACAATATCCTCGTACTTGGTTTTGCGGCATTGATCAATAATCTTGAAGTGAAGTCAGACCCCTGATTTTGTTTCACATCTTTTCTGCTTGATAAAAAATATACCATATAATACGACCTGAGTATTATGTAGGATTTTCCTTTGAGGAGACCCCCCCCATTTTTTTCCAGTGGTTTTCATAATACTTTAGGGTGTGTTATCCGGGAGAATACGGTAGCCATGAATGTGAGGCAGGTGTCATGCTGATGCTGGAATGACTACACTGCTCATGCATTCAGAACTACCGCACTGTTTTGTAGTGAGTGTCATGGTATCACCAAGCCTTTCAGAATCACGAAGGCAACCTGAATAAGAAACGAAGATGACTAAAAAATAGTATGTCACAGTGAAACTGTTGGAACAATGACTGCTGAAAAAACTACTTTGCAGCTGCCTTGGACTTTGATGACTTGGAAGATGTGGTTGTAGCAGCAGCGGGAGCATCAGCGGTAGTGGCAGCAGCCGCAAAGGATGGAGGAGGATTGTGCTTCAGCTTCAGCAATACCTGAAATAAACCAGATTTGACAAATTTATGCATGGAATTGTGCTGAAAACATGTCAGACACACAGGAAGATGCTACAGTTTGGCTTACCTGGCGCATGCGGGCTAGATCGGTATGCTTGCCCGGTTTAGCATCGTTAAGCTGAGTTGACATGCGAGTCGGCTCATCCTTCTTCTTCGCCTTCTCTTTCTTAATGGATACGTCAAAGTTTGTAAACGCACACACACTCTCCCAGTAGTTCCCACCCTGCTTAGAGTTGAGGCTCAAGAGGTTGTCCACGTATGCCTTCTCCTTCTCCCTGAGAACGGGAAATGATAGATCTTATCAGAACTGAAACAGCTCATTCTGTACCTGACCAGAACAACAACACCCACGAACCTGTTGTTCGTCTTGGCCTGTGTGACTTGCATCTCACGCTTCTTGTAAAATGCTTCAAGCTCGGCTTTCGAGTCCTCCAGCACCTGAACAGTCAGGGTAAGGTCCAAGACTATGAAATCGACACCCATACTTGATAATATTCGTGACATGTTCATTCCCGGACCCCATCAGATGAATTTAGATCAACATGAATAATCGTAGTCTTTTCGAAATAACCAAGTTGATTCGTTACCACAAATAGCTCACCTGTTGATGCTTCTCTCTTGAAATACGAGCCTTCTCCTCAAGCTCGATGGCCTTCTTCCTCCTCCATTCCCTGATGGCGAAAATAGAGGGTAAAAATGAGACCACAAATGTCTTGCTGCTCGACGATGAACAATAGGCTATATCATCTTCGCCTATCTGACCTAATCGTCACCTTAGCAAAATCGACTCCTCGGACCCCATCTGTGAGGGAGGCGGAAGCTTCGCTCCGCCATCAAAGGTGCCGTTTTCCTCCGCAGGGGGAGCATATTCGCCAGCAGCTGCTTCTTGCTCTTCTCCTACACCATTGTACGACTGGAAATCAGAGGCAGGTGCATTCTGCTGCTCAAAGTCGAACCCCTCCATATTGTAACTTCGGCAGGACTGTACAAAAATTTAACAATAATCCGGCAACAAAAAGCTACGATCGACAGCTGATTTACAAGGCTAGGAGGAGTATCAAGGGTGTGGGGATCCAAATCTCGAGCTAGGATGGATGGGAAGGGTGGGTTCGGTGTCACAGCGGGATCTGGCACTCAATCTTGAACTTGGTTCCACAGAAAAGATTGGCATTGTCAGTGGAGTGGAACAACTTCCAACCTGGGAAATTGCACAAGACGCACGAAAACCATCAAGCGAGATCTCCCTGTTCTGGGTAACCACGATTGTTCCTTCTCGCAACGGCAGTTTTCCTCTGGTGAGCAGTCGCCTCACAACGGCTAAAAGCGGAATTAGGGCATATCAAGTGCCCTCGGAATCCAAAACAGAAGTACAAACTGTATTTTTTGATGATTATATGATGTGCAAAGAATTCACAAACAAAAAATAATGTTTATTGGTTAGTACTGTTGAGGCCTAGAATATTAGCAAAATTGTTGATTGTATTTCAGTTAGAAGTTTGCTCAAAAACATCTTTCAAATCTTCTGGAGGCTCGTAATGTATACCATTAAGAGGGATGCTGAAGTCTGACGCATATAGCCCCTTCACCATCTCGTATATTTCCTGAGCACAGGAGCAACCAAGGAAAACATGGAGAGCAAATGTGCAACATTTGAAAAGTTCACATGCCATGTATTGGTGCATATCAACAGGTCAACAACAGGTCCCAGCATTTCAGATTATAGGATCAATCACATTACCTTGGTGTACATTCCCCGCAGGTGTGCATCAGCATCGGTGCGATGCGCCTCCTTGCCAACCCCGAAGGCTTTCAAGGGTGAAGTGCCAAGGTGGTTCATCACATACTCCACGCCCTCCTCCAGCTGCTCGAATCTCCCCACAAAGTCATACTTGACGCTCTCGAGGTCACACACATCCGCCTGGTAGCAACAGCAAGGGGATGGAAATTGGAAATGACTTTTGAGGCGCATCAGAAGTTTCTTCCGGCTGCTCGAATCGCTCCACATAGTCGCACTTGATGCTCTCAAGGTCACTCACGTCCACCTGGTAGCAGAAAGGGGATGGAATCGGTTGGATTGTGCACCCACTTGTGGAGCTGTGAGGAGATAAAACAAGAAACGGTAATTCCAAAAAGTCTCTAAGAACACCGACCTGGAGTGCAAAGCGGGGTTCCATGCCAAATTGGTGCTTGCTCTCTGACAGTGGCAAGGGCAGCTTTTAAGACGTCTCAAAAGCCATTTCAAAAGTGTACAAGAAAGCACCGACCTGGGGTGCAATGTGCGGCTCCATGTCGGCACGGTGCTTGCTGACAGTGGCGAGGGCGAGCGTGATGAAGGTGGCGAAGGTCATGTTGTAGTCCGCACCCTCTGGCGCTATCTGCAGCAGCCTGGCGCCCTTCCACGCGAAGAATCTCTGCTCTCACGTAATCAGGTGGGGGGAAGGGGGGCGACAGGAGGGAAGGAGGTCATGTTGTACTCTCTGTGCCCGCACGCGCTCTCTGCTGCAGCCTGGCCCCTTTCCATGCGGATATTCTCTACACTCAACGTGCTTGCGAGGGAGTGCGTGTGAGTGCAGGTGCGTTTGTGCGGTGCGGTGCACACCTTGTTCCACTCCAGGCGATCCTTAGGATCGGCCCAGGCGACGTGCTTGTTGAGGTAAGCAGAGGCGACACGGGAGAAGGGGTTGCGCACGAATGTGAAGCGGAACATGTCTGGGCGGGTCAGCACACGGATGGCCTCGCTCTCTGTGAATGCGTGCCTGCACAACACAGAGCAAGGAGGGGATGGGGAAGGCGAGGGGGACCAAGAACCCAAGTCAAACGAAGCACGAAGGTGCAGTGGAAGAGGCCTGGGCGAGTGAGCACTCGGATAGCCTCACCCTCTGTGAATGCGTGCCTGCAAGAGTGGGGGGGAGTGGGGAGGGTATATGGAAGGGTAGAGGAAAGGGGAACTGAAGCCACTGGCGTCAGCATCATGCACCACTGATAAAAATGACCTGAAACTGGTGACGACTCACTATAGCTGTTCCAGGCCACTGGTGTCAGCAGCATGCACATGCCACACACACATCATCAGGGGTGCTGCGACTTTTTGAGGCGCCTCGAAACTCACCATCACGTTTTATGATCTTCCACAGCGCATCAGATCGTAACGCACCATAGCTGGTCTCAACTCACCACAGCTGATCGAGGCCACCGGTTACAGCATCGTGCACATGCTCTATGTCATCAGGGGTGGTGTGGCCGCGCTGCTGCTGGAACCACAGCTTCCAGCTCGTACATGCCACCTTGGGGATGTAGCAGTACATGGCCTTCAGGCGCTCTGAGGAAACGCCGAGGGAGAGAGGAACGAGAGGAAAGGGGGGGAATATGGGGGAGATAACAAGGGAAGGGGATGTGGGGGAGATAACAAGGGAAGGGGATGTGGGGGAGATAACAAGGGAAGGGGATGTGGGGGAGATAACAAGGGAAGGGGATGTGGGGGAGATAACAAGGGAAGGGGATGTGGGGGAGATAACAAGGGAAGGGGATGTGGGGGAGATAACAAGGGAAGGGGATGTGGGGGAGATAACAAGGGAAGGGGATGTGGGGGAGATAACAAGGGAAGGGGATGTGGGGGAGATAACAAGGGAAGGGGATGTGGGGGAGATAACAAGGGAAGGGGATGTGGGGGAGATAACAAGGGAAGGGGATGTGGGGGAGATAACAAGGGAAGGGGATGTGGGGGAGATAACAAGGGAAGGGGATGTGGGGGAGATAACAAGGGAAGGGGATGTGGGGGAGATAACAAGGGAAGGGGATGTGGGGGAGATAACAACAAGGGAAGGGGATGTGGGGGAGATAACAAGGGAAGGGGATGTGGGGGAGATAACAAGGGAAGGGGATGTGGGGGAGATAACAAGGGAAGGGGATGTGGGGGAGATAACAAGGGAAGGGGATGTGGGGGAGATAACAAGGGAAGGGGATGTGGGGGAGATAACAAGGGAAGGGGATGTGGGGGAGATAACAAGGGAAGGGGATGTGGGGGAGATAACAAGGGAAGGGGATGTGGGGGACATAACAAGGGAAGGGGATGTGGGGGAGATAACAAGGGAAGGGGATGTGGGGGAGATAACAACAAGGGAAGGGGATGTGGGGGAGATAACAAGGGAAGGGGATGTGGGGGAGATAACAAGGGAAGGGGATGTGGGGGAGATAACAAGGGAAGGGGATGTGGGGGAGATAACAAGGGAAGGGGATGTGGGGGAGATAACAAGGGAAGGGGATGTGGGGGAGATAACAAGGGAAGGGGATGTGGGGGACATAACAAGGGAAGGGGATGTGGGGGACATAACAAGGGAAGGGGATGTGGGGGAGATAACAAGGGAAGGGGATGTGGGGGAGATAACAAGGGAAGGGGATGTGGGGGAGATAACAAGGGAGCAAGAGGGAACCTGGAGGGTGTAGCAGAGGTAGACACTTGATATTCCAGGATTACTGAGGCGTGTCTGGTAGCGAGACAAACTAGAAGCATGGGAGCAGCAGAGGAGCAGGCGAAGGGCAGAGGGTCTCACCATCCACGATCATGTGGCGAGCTGCACGGCTCTTGATGACAGGCGGCACAGGGGGCGCTTGACACACACTCAGCTCATCACCCGACCCTCCACCAGCAGCAGCACTAGCGTCAGCAGCAGCGGTGGTGGCACTTGTATCATCCACACTCCCGCCCTCCCCATTTGTGGTGGTGGTGGAGGTGGTGGAGGAGGTGGAAGCGTGGTGCAGGCGGAAGGCCATCTGGGCGCGGATGAAGTCGGCTGCTGTGCTGCGGTACAGACTGAACATGGCCTGCGCCCGTGACAGCCAATACAGCTCCGCCAGCTGGAGGTATGGGAAGAGACGGAGAAGAGGGGAGGCGGGGAGGGACGGATGAGGAGTGGTGGTTGCTCATTCCTATACTTGGTCAGATGTCAACTCGTCACTGTCACACATCACATGCCAAGTCAAAGCATGCACAGCCCCACATGCCAAGTCAAAGCATGCACAGCCCCACATGCTTTATGCCCCCATGCCCTGCATGCCTACCCTTAGTCGAGCACACAGCCGGTCATGCCCCCCCAAGGCCCCACACCATGCCCTGCATGCCTACCCTGAGGCGAGCACACAGCCGGTCATCTCTCCGCTTGGACGCCCCGGCCTTCCGAGCCGCCTCTTCCTCCTGCAACTCCGCCAGCTGTTGCCACGTCAGCGCCAAGTCAGCACCCAAAAGCCGTCTCCTGTTCAACACCCCACTGCCAGAGCCACCAATACCGCCCCCTGACTCTTGAGACGTCTCAAAAGTCGCCGACTCAGCACCCAAAAGCCTTCGCCTGTTCAACGCCCCACTGCCAGAGCCACCAAGAGCGGCCCCTGACCCGTTCCCCCCACGGATGTCTCTCCTCCGCTGCCGCTCCCGTGCCAGCTGCTTCAGTCGCTGCTTCATCGCCCAGTACTGCCCCTTCTGCCCGTTTCCTCCCTCCCCGCCCTCTCCCTCCCCTCCCCCACCCTGCGCAAAACCTCCCTGCACGGCACTGCCAGAGCCCCCAAGAGCGCCCCCTGAACTATCCCCCTCAAGGGCTTTCTGCCTCTCCTGCGCCAGCTGCTTCAGCTGCTGCTTCATTGCCCAGTACTGGCCCTTCTGCCCGCCCCCGCCTTGCCCGTCCCTTCCCTGCCCGCCCCCTCCCTGTGCACCCGCCCCCTGCCTGCCCGCTCCCTGCCAGCCTCCGCCAGTGCCCTGTGTACCCGTGCCCACTGCACTGACCACTCTGAGGTCTAGAGCCACGCCCTGTCCTGCTGCTCTCGGTGGGTCAACAAACCGCACCTGCTGCTGCTGGGGCAGCTGTGGTAGCGGGTCTTGCTGCTGCCCTCCCTGTCCTTCCTGTCCTCCTTGTGCGCCCTGTGCGCCCTCCCTGTCTCCTCCCTGCGTTCCTCCTCTTCCTGCCCCCTGCGTTCGCCATCCCACCCGCCTGTACTTGATCCCTCGCATCCCCATCTGCTCCTCAGACCTTAACGATCCCCGCTCGGGGCGCAGGGCAAGAGGGGGTGGTGACGGGCATGCCACCTGGCGCCGACGTGTCAGCCTGAGGAGGTACGGCCGGCGGAGCGGATGGAAGGCTGAGATGAGCGTCTGAGCATCCGACGGCCAGTATGCGCCGACTAGGAAGTCAGGCAGCAAGCGGGAGGAGTCGGAGGAGGAAGAAGACGAGGAGGAGGAGTATGAGGAGGAGTCAGAGGAAGGAGAAGGGGCGTGTGTGCGCATGTAGTGGTATGCGATGCGGCGCATGGTGCAGTTGAGGAGGTCAGCAGGCGGGCAGCCAGCACAGGGCAGCGCACGGGCCTGGGGGAGCGTCCATGGGGGGGTGGGCTGGAGTGGGGAGAGGATGGGCCGCAGGAAGGGGGAGGGAAACGGGTCAGACGTGAACGGGGAGGCAACCAGCACGGAACAAGGTACGCAACCAGCTTGCATTGTCGCTCCCCTCCTTTCCACTCATGCAACACACTCACCTCCAGATACACTGCTGTGCTCCGAGCAACAATCTCTCCAATGCTGCTGCCATCCCGCCTCTCCCCCACTCCTCGCGCTCGTGAACCCTCCTCCTCCCTCCCCTCACTTCCATTCTCCCCATCACCCGCCCCTCCCCTCTTCTCCCTCTCCTCCTCGCCTTCTCCACCCTCCTGCTCCTCCTCCTGGCGAATTAGAGAGAGGACGGCATCGGACGGCTGTAGCTTCCCCAGGCACACCCGCACCTCCTCCTCGTACCGGCACGCCACGCGCCGGTCGGCAAAGTCCGGCAGCACTAGACCCCGCACAGTGTACAGCTGCAGCCGTCCCGTCCAGTGCCCGTACCGGTCTGCACCGCTCTCCACCCTCGTGCCGTTGCTGCTGGCGGAACCCTGGGAATCCCACCCTTGGGAATTCATTTCCTGGAAAATCCCCTCCTGCTGGGGAGACCAGCCAGTGGCTTGGCGCATGCGGGAGACCTCCTGGGCGTAGCGGCGCACGTCTGGTGCTACCCTCAGCAGCTCTGCTCCTGATGCCACCCTGCCGCCTGACGGCTCAGGGCAGCGGATGAAGGATATCTGAGGGAGGGAATAGGGAGAAGCATAAGTGGGACGCATGTGAGGATGGCATGGTGGAGCCTCAGTAGCCGTCTTGTTGACAGTTCAGGGCAGCGCATGAAGGGAATCTGGGCAGGAGAGTGTTACCACGGGCGGCTAAAAAAGCTGCCTCAATGAGGCTCCAGGCACAGCCAGCGAGGTGCAGGCAGTGAGAGCACAGACGCTGACTCACCTCTCTACGCATGAGCTTCTCCCCTGCCACCACATGGCGCAGCAGGAACTCAGTGGCGTTCTCCTGCACGTCCACAGGCATGCGCGCATCAAACAGGTCGCCAAACCGCACCATCCCCACCTCCCCCGCCATGCTCCCCTCCGCCCCCCCACTCCCGGCCTCTCCCCCCTGTCTCTCCCCCTCCGCTGCCCCCACTCCCTCCCCTCTCCTCCTCCTCATCCTCCTCCGCCTGGCCTCTCTCAGCCTCCTCAGCTCCTCTTCTCCTGTCATCATCTCCCCTAAGAGCCTCCGCCGCTGCTGCCGCCCTCCCCCAAGCATCCCCCCGGCGTTCCGGCTTTGGGGGAGGCTGTGGGAGCGTTTGGGAAAGAAGCGGGGGCGGGGGCGGAGGGTCCAGAGGGCGCGGAAGCGGGTGTTGGCGAGCACAGTGAGGGCCTCTGTGGCGCAGACAGCCTCCATGCGCTGCTCCAGGCTGCCCCGCGCGACCACCACGCCCTGCCGCGGCCCACATGCTGCCATGGTGCGCTGCTCCCTGCAACGGCGGGATGTGCGCGTGTGGAACATCAGAGAGGCGGGTCGGTGCCACAGCTCGCTGGTGGTCGAGGTGGTGGTGGTGGTGGTGGTGCTGCTGCTGCTGCTGCTGATGCTGCCGTCCCCGCCGCCGCTGCTAGTGCTGTTCGTGTCTGCCGGCTGTTCTTGGATCTGCTCTGAGTTGGCCTGCTGCTCTGGTGCTTCTTGGTGAGCTTCGCTTTGATCTGAGTCTTCCTGAGTGGCGGTACCCAAGGGCTCTGACCCATCTCCTTCCCTTCCCTCACTTTCTCCTGCTGCTGCTTCCTGATGCACCCCCTCTGCTACACCTCCCCCACCTTGTTCCCCTCCCCCACTCTCTCCTCCTGCTCCTGCCTCCTCATGCATCCCCTCTGCTACCGCTCCCGCACCTTCTCCTCCCTGCTCATTGTCGGCTGCCATGCCCCCGCCCGCCCCTCCATTCGCATCTCTGTTTTCCCCGCCATCTCCCACCTGCCCTTCCGCGTCGCCTTCTCTCAACGCTTGCTCCTGCAATCCCTGCCCCTGCAACCCCTGCTCCCGTTCCTGGTTCCGTACTTGACCCCCCAAACCCGTGCCCCCCTCTCTTCCTTCCACATCCGTTCCCAACCAGCCCGTCCCTCCCAACCCTCCCACCTTCTCCCATCCGCCCTGCCCTTGCCCCACGCTCCCACCGCTCCTCTCCCAGCCCACCACTCCTGGCACTGCCTGCTGGCTCTCCCTCCGCACCTTCGCCCCGGCGCTCCTTATCTCCTCCACCAGCGCGCCCTCCCTCGCAGACAGCACATTCAAGCCCAGCAGCGCGAAGGCGAGCAGCAGCAGCAGCAGCAGCGGGACGAGAAGCAGCGGGTGGATACGGCAGCAGTGGCGGGAGCGGCGGCGCTTGCGGCTGGGGGAGGAGGATGGGGAGGTGGGAGGAGACTCGCGGTGGCCTGTGAGGAACGAGGTCAGGCTGCTGCGGCGGGCCCTGGGAAAGAACCATTGTAAGCATCCCTTTCGTCTGCTTCCTGTCTCTTTTCCTCCATCTCTCCCCATTCCTGCTGCTACTGTTGCTGCTGCTGGCCCTGTTTCAGACATAAGCTTGGCTGAATCACGCATAGGCGCACAGCCAAGGCCGTCTAGACCAGCACGAGCGGACCCAGGCGTGTCCCTACCACTCTCACTCCCTGTCTCATCCCCATCCACCCCGTAAAACCCACCGCCCACCACCTCATACCGCACTCCCTCCCCTTCCGCCTCATCCACTCCCACAGGGGTCATGCTCCCCCCCATCCACTCCCACACTCCCTCCGCCACAGGCGCCACAGCTTTAACCACTCTGCTCTCCCACAACCCACCAAAAGGCAGCCCTATGCTGAAACGGAACGGAAGAGCAGAGGAACGCGCCCTAGAGGAGTCATCGGGAGTGTCTTGATCCCCTCCTCCTCCACGCTTGCCCTGCTGCTGGCTACTGGTGGCGTCGCTGCTGTCCAAGTCAACGGTCAAAGGAGGGATGGCTCGTCGTCGCATCTGTGTTGCGCCCCCTGTGTCCGCACATGGGACTGCTGCTGTGGCGGGAACTGTTGCTGTGGTGGGTACTGCTGCTGCTGCTGGTGGCACTGCTGCTGCTGCTGCTGGCACTGCTGCTACTGCTGGCAATGCTGCTGCTGGTGGCACTGCTGCTACTCCTGGCACTGCTACTGCTGCTGGCACTGCTGCTGCTGGGACTGCTACTGCTGGTGGCACTGCTGCTGCTGGTGGCACTGCTACTGCTGGTGGCACTGCTGCTGCTGGTGGCACTGCTGCAGCTGTTGAGATGGCTGTTGATGGGGCTGCCAATGAGTCTGCTGCTGCTGCTGATGCAGCTACTGCTGCCTTTTCAGGAGCAACAGCTGCAGCACCTCCTGCTGCTGCTGTCGAAGTCGGCAGTCCGCTTGTTGACGTCGCCATTATTGCAGTAGCTATCGTCGCGTCAGTGCGGATTGGAACACCAGAGGAATCAGCATCAGCAGTTGTGTCGCATTCACTAGGTAGCGCTGCTTCTAACCTGCTGTTTCCGTCATCCACAGTCGCGGAGTTATCGTTCTCCAAAGGTGAACCGGCCGGTCCTGAGCTCTCAGCCAATAGAGTGCTTCCAGATTCCAGCATTACTGGCTCTCCTACTTTAGGCTCTGGACAAGATACTTCAGGCGCTGCTGGTCCTTCCCCCGCTTGCTCCCCTCGACCTGTGTCCACGCCTGGTGGGTCTTCACCGGACTCCTGAGTTGACTCAGGAGTCGATTCTGCTCTCCCAGCATCCTGTTGAGCAGACTCGGAGTTTGACTCTGCTGCTCCGCTCGCTTCTGCGATTGAAAGCTCCTCCGCTGAAGCAGCGTCAGCACTTGCAGTACCAGAATTAGCAGCGGCAGAAGGTGCGCTTGCTGTACCAAAATTTCCGGCATTACCGGCTTCAGCAGTGCTATCGACACCGCCAGAAACAGGAATCTCCTCGGGGTCAGTCGCCATTACTTCACGCGCGCGTTTCACTTCCTACGACAACATCCAGTTCTCTTTGCAGTGCGACGTACAATGCAGCCGTCTGTGCTGAGCGCCTTGATTAGCGACGCTGTGCCAGACACAAACGTACATTTCGTTCACGCTCAACGCAGTGTGGTCCAGAAATACCCCCTTTTTTTTCTCTCTCAATTCTAAATGGTCCAGAAGATTACTCGCATTGTGCTGTGCTTCAAGTCCTGAATGCTGGGCAACAGGTCGTATGGTAAGGCTGTGAATGATCAGGTGAAATGGCGACGATCCCAAGGTAGTTGGGAAGACGAGGTTCAGGCTTTCCGCGTTAAGATAGGAACTCGATTTCTGCAGTGGAACCAGTTTGCAGAAAAAAACATTTCCCGAACGAGTAGCCCTTTTTACAAAATGGTGTTTTGTAGATTCGTTACAAACAGTTCTCCCACTTCCTTTATGCCTCGATCTTGCCTCCCTTAAGAATTGCCAGGAGCGGGAGGGAGATCTGTCAGACCAACATCGACGATCCCAGACCACCAGGACCTCGTACGCTCAAGTCTTACGCTCAAGTCTATAGTTGATCCTCGAATCCGCGATAGCACTGGCAGGCTAACGCAGCAGCGCGCGTCTTTGTTCTGACTGCTCTCGGGGCCGGCCATTCTGCGCATTAGCAATCGCATGAGTTATCACTGGCGTTTTCAAGTGCCGGCCTAGCGTTGCACTGAAAATCTGCAACGTTGCACTTCTTACGGTTAACTGCGAGACGCATCGAGGTCGAAAATCCGTTTATCGAAGATATGATAAGAAATGCATGGTCAATGGAAGCGGCTGCAGTGAGGAGTCATCGGATTCCGTGATCACGAGTCCAGGAACCGTCTTAACCTTTTGAGAAGTCGTATCCTGCGAGGAGCTGTTGAATTCCGTGATTCTTAATCTAGAGCCAACTTAAGTTTTTTGAAACGTCTCAAAAGTTGTCTGCTGTGAGGAGCCATTGTATGACTTCGTGATCACGAGTCCAGGAGACGTCTGAAGTCAAGGAGGTGCCTTGACTGCAGCATCGCCTTAGTGTTTTACAGATCCCGCTCCTTACAAAAGATAGAGGAAAAGAAGGTTTCTGTTGGTCCAGCGGTGTTTCTGCTCGCCACGTTGCTTTGTTCGCTGTGACTGATCGCGCCACCGTCGCATGTGCGATGCTGTCCGACGAAAGTTCCATCGGCGAAGGCGTCGCACGGCTGAATCGATGGCACCTGGGTCCCGGCACATCAAGGTGCGGCCGCTCGTTACAGTCACACGACACCTATCACCTGTTTCACTAGAAACCCGGTTTTCCGTTCTGCAACTTAGCAAACCTGCTCCGTTAGGCCATATTCAGCCTACCTCGCATTCGCGCCTCAATTTCCCTTCTCGCTCAATATTTTTCCCGCAAATCTCCTGCACAGGGTACAGCAGCAGTCGCACGCGCCGTTGCACGCCTTCTACGTCGTCGGGCGGTCACTGCGCGTGCTGTCGGTGTTCGCGGCGTACCGCTTCCTGGTGGAGTCGGACGTGTCCGTGCTGCTCTTCGCCTTCTTCTCGCTCCTCGGCGCCGCCATCCTCTTCTTCCTCCTCCAACGGCCCTGGAAAGGAAAACGCCTCACCAACACCCAGGTAGCGCCGCGTTCACACTCCGGTGATCACAGTTCTGCCTTCCTGACACCCAGGTGACGCCGCGCGGATGCTAAGGCAACGCCGCATCCCTGCCAGGTGATTTCTCCACCAATACTCTGGCAACTCGGCTGGCCAGCGCGTCTGCACGGGCTGTCTGCGTTCTGAGCGTGAATCTTCCCTGTGTAGTCGATACTGTGCTTCTCTTTCTGGGTCGACTCAAAAAGCGGGCGTGCACTGCGCTTCCACCTGCTCACACCAAGGTTAAAAAAAACGTCGTTTTTTTGAAAATTTACCGTAAAAAACGGCCGTAAAAAACGACCGTAAAAAACGGTTAAAAGGGTTCCAGACGGTGGTTTCGTTTGAAGAAAAATCGGCCGATTTTTGGGACCAAATTGATGGCGAAAGGTACCAGGATGAAGAGGACGAACCCCTCCTTGCATGCGTGCGCTTGTGGGCATGATTGAAAATGTATTCGACCTTGCTTTTCCCTTTTTTTGTTGGTGACAACACATCTCTAACAAAAAAACGCCGTTTTTTTGGAAAATTACCGTAAAAAACGGACTGTAAAATATGGACCGTTTTTTTACGACAACCGTATTTTTTATCCTTGGCTCACACCCATTCTGGTTTGATCCTGCTCCTGTCACTCTTCCTTCTCCTTTCTTTGTCATTCTCCTTGTTGATTCCTTTTCTTCCTTTACCCACTCCCCTCCCCCTCTCCCACCTCCCCCCCCTGTTTCCCCTCTGTCTACTCCCCCGATTCCCCCGATTGTATCACATGATCAGTGGGGCATCTCAGTGATGAATGGAGGCGTGTTGGCGCTCGCTGTTGTCACATGGGCGTACGGTCTGAAGCAGTGCGGCCCTCTAAGGTGAGTGCAGTAAGTTTTTGAAACTGGTACCTGCACTCCTTCCCTAGTAGCATGCACCCTCCTTCTCCTCACGGCCTCCGTCCCTCTCCTTGAACGGTTGCTGATTCCCCATCAGGTCTGTAATGGCGGAGTATTCAGGAGCGGTGGTTGCCACCATATCCACCATAATATTCGGGCGGCGAGGACACCGCGTACTCAAGGTGAGTGCGGTGGGTTGCATGACAAAGGGAGGTACCCAGACATACCTAGGCACACAATTTGGTTAAGTGACTACCAGCGGCAGTTGCCACCATATCCACCATGATAGTCGGGCGGAGGGGCCACCGCGTGCTCAAGGTGAGCCCACCCACTCCGTGCTAAAGCCAGTCATTGACAATGCTGAAGGGCAGCTGTTACATTCGCCACTGCTCTGTGCATGGGTGATTTTTAGGTGATTAAAAGCTTCTACTTTTGTTCCAACCACTGTATTCTGCTTCCTGCTGTCAACCCCTCCTTCCCTTCTCCCTCGCCTCCCCCTTCCCCTCTGCAGCTGTACGGCGCCATTGCCATGCTGGTTGCCTTCTACCTCCTCGCCTCGGGAATCCCGCTGGGTCCCACTCTTCCGCTGGATTTCCCACCTCCTGCCAACCCCGTCCCCTTGGGCCTAGACAGCACCGCCGCCGCCACTGCCGCCGGCACAGGCGCCGACAGCACTGGCAGCAGCACAGGCAGCAGCAGCAAGGGAGGCGCAGCAGGGGCAGTGGGGGTTGGGGCGGCAGGAGGGGAGGGAGGTGCGGGGTTGTTGGCGTGGCAGGTTGCGCGGATGTCTGGGAGTGGGATGGTGGAAGCGGCAGGGGGCAATCCGTTGACGGCCATGCTGCTGCCTGTGGCCGCTGGAGTGCTCTTTGCGCTGAGACGATTGCTTGCCCGGCTGGGAAAGGTACAGACGGAGCACCAATGCCACATCGCGTGTCTTTGCTGCTGATGCATCGCATCGTGTTGCATTGCATTGGAGCACGGGTTTGAGTGGGAGCATGGGGGTGAGTGGGCGCACGGGGGTGAGTGGGAGCACGGGGGTGAGTGGGCGCACGGGGGTGAGTGCGGGGGTGAGTGGTTATTTTTTCACTAACCCACCATGCCCTCCTGCTCTCCCTGCCTGCTTACCCCCTTTCCCATACCCGTGTCTCTTTCTCTCCCTCTCCCATCCACCAGTCGCAGCAAAAGAAGCGGTTGCACGCCGTCACAGCAGTGTCCTCTGTATTCTTCCTCCTGCCTATCGCCATCTTCCAGCTCAGCGGGGTGAGTGCCACTGTCACTGTGCCACATGGTGAGGCAGGGTGCATGTGATTGTGGCACTCCGCATCTATTCTCTTCTCTTATTATCGCCAGTTGTCCGCTTGTCCATCCCCTCCTTCCCCTCTCAACCTTACCGCAAACCCAGGAGAAAGCAAAACGCCACTCGTCTCTCCTCGACTCCCCTCCCTCCCTTCTCTCTCCCGCCCCCCCCGTCTTCCTCGCCCCTACCACCTGCCACGGCTGCAGGCCATGGCCGTGCCGTGGTGGCATGTGACAAGACGATTCCCAGGCGCCTCACAAACCCTCCCATCCCCGTGCTCTTTCCCCTCCTGCCACACCCTTTCCCCCCGCCCCACACTTCTCCTCTCGCCCGCGCCACCCGGCAGGGAGCGCAAGCCTTGGACCTGGAGGCGGGGGGGCGCGGCCAACTTTCCAGGGGCTTCAAAACCTTCCCATCTCCTCTCACGCTTCCCCACTTCCTCCATTCTCCTCTCGCCTGCGCCACCCGCCAGGGAGCGCAAGCCTTGGACCTGGAGGCGGGGGGGCGGGCGATGCAGGTGTATGCGCTGGTGATCCTGGCAGGGCTCGTGTTCTCCTTCTATGTGGACACTCTGGCGGAAGACAAGTGAGTGGGAGGGGAAGGGGGAGGGCGAGGGAGGGGGGGAAGAGGGGAGTGGGGGGGGAGGATGGGAGGGGATGGAGTGGGGGAATGGGGAGAAAGGGGTTCGAGGCTCCTGGAAAGTGATCCTGCTGGGGCTCGTGTTCCTTTCTATGTCAGCCGTGTTTCTCCCCTCTCTCCCTTCCTTTGACACTACCCCCATTCCCTCCCTCTTCCCCTCCCTTCCCCCCCTCTCCCTACCCCTTTTCCTCCCCCCATTTGATCCCCCCTTTCCCCCTTTTCCCTTCCCTTGCCCATCTCTTGCAGGCTGCGTATTGGCCCGTCGTCACTGAAGCATCTGCTGGTGACGAGTGTGGCGGTGGTGGCACTGCTACTCATCTATCGAATGCACTTCAGCCCGCTCTCCTTCGTCCTCATCGCCCTCCTCCTTGCTGCTGGTAAGCTTTTGAGTCGACCCAATAGTCACGTCTGCTGGTGACGAGTGTGGCGGTGGTTGCGCTGCTACTCGTGTACCGAATGCACTTCAGCCCCCTCTCCTTCGTCCTCATCGCCCTCCTCCTTGCCGCTGGTACGCCCCCCTGCTGCTCCTTCCTGCATGAACTGCCCAACATCCCTTCCCACCACCACAAATCCCACCGCACCTCACGCTCCCCCACCCAAGCCCCCGCCACACCCTTCGTCCCCCCCCACCTCAGTTATTCTCTCATTCCCTCCATGCGCACTCTCTCCGTCCCTCTGACTCTCTCTATTCCTGCCTCAAGGACTGCACTGGACTTCAGTCCTCCAGTGGTCCATGTCCAGGTCCCTGCAATAAAATGCAGCAATCTCTAGGGCTAACCTTCCTTCACCCGTGCCTCACCCACCCCTGCTCTCCCTCTCTCCCGCCCACCAGGTCTGCACTGGTCTACGGCCATAGAGCGCAGCAAGTCAGCGGGGTCGCTGGCAGAGGATGGGGTGGCAGCCAAGGAGAGGCGCAGAACTGCCGCCCTCGCCATGCTGCAGGTGAGCACACACACATGTGTGCGTCGGGCAAGGAGTGAGTGAAGCAATTCTTCAAGCAAGTAGCACGTGCGCCCGCACTATCCATCATCCTGTTTCGCAGGCAAACAGGTTTGCTGGTGCAAGGTAAACTGGTGGACGGATGAATCAAAAGCATGACGGCTTGGGTTGAATCCCGATGAAACCCGGCTCTTGTTGCAGAGTGTGATCGCACGTGGCTTTCCTTTCTGAAGTGCTTCAGAGGGGCTTGCTGCTTGCAGCCACTCTGGATAGACATGGACACACCGCTCGTCGTATGTCTGGTTCTAAAGGAACCATGGTGTCAGATTTTTTTTTGTGAACGCCCTGGTGGTCCATTCAAAGGGGCCTCTTCCCATATGTTTTGTCTTTCCCCTCTCTATATCTCTTCCTAGCTTTTCGTAGTTGAACCCTTTCTTATTTTTTCACCGACTTAGGCAAAAACAACCTGGCTTGGATGAGTGACTGACGTGTGGTATCCTGCCCTCTCCTGCCATGGTGGGATGTGGTGTGCACACACCCGCAGGGAGCAATGGACCACGTCATGTCCGATTCCAAGTCACGCCGCATTGCGCGTACGTATGGGCTAGGGGCCGCATCATAGTGAACATGGCGATTTGTGTACGTATGGCCACGGGCTACATAGCAAGCAAGTGCAATCGTGCTGGCATGGGGATACGGTTCTGTCTATGCCCGTCTTGCTCAAAGTACAATGGGCATACCTACCTACGGGTTGGTAGCACCACGATGCCTTCTCCACAGCGCATTAGTGTGATTCTTCGTGTTTACACAATCGTCTTCGCGAATCAGACTGAGAGTGCATGCAGCGGTTCACTTTCAATTTTCTAGGGCCACTAAAAAATCGTAAAGATATGCGAATTAAACTGAGAGTGGTGTTTCCCCGATTCGTTCCATCAAATCTGTTCTTTCTTCTCCCACACATGGCCCTCCGTCAGTTCTTCCTCCTCTCTCACCCTTCTTTGTTTTTTTGTTTGTTTTTCGACCGTCGTCGTCACCCTTCTATTGACTCCATTTCTCCCTCCCCTGCCATCCCCTCCCATTCCATGTGCCCTGCCTCCTCACCCCCCTTGCCAGTCTTTCTCCTCATCAACGCAGCGTTTATGATCGTTGAGTTCTCGGTCGGTTTCCTTTCCAATAGGTATGCTTGGTCTGACCTAGCTCAGACTAAAATGCTTCTGGTTGAGGTGCTTACTGTTTGAATCAGCTCCAGCTAACCCTTTTACGCTGGCCTGATCACATGAAGCTTGTAGTGCCTACTTATGCAAGCATACATGGGCTACGTTACTTTATCCATGGCTCAACAGCAGTGCGCACTTGCCACTTCCCTTCCCACGACCACTTTTACCAATTCCCCTCCTTTCTCCTTCTCTCCATCTCCGTTCCACTCTGACATCGTCCCATTTGGCCACCAAGTCTCCTTCTTCCGACCTTCTCCCTCATACCACTTGTTCCCCCCTCCACCTTGTTCCCCCCTCCACCTTGTTTCCCCCTCCACCTTGTTCCCCCTCTCCACCCACCACCACCAGTCTGGGTCTCATATCAGACGCGTGTCACATGCTCTTTGACTGTGCTGCGCTCGCCATCGGCCTCTATGCCTCCTACATCTCCCGCCTCGACTCCCCTTCTAAGTTTGCCTATGGGTCAGTGAAACCCTTGCTAGGGCAGTTGAACTATTTGGGAAAAGTGCGTTGTGTGTGCTGTCGTATGGTATGGCATGGCATGGCATGGCTCACTGATTTAGACCTCACTCTCACTGCGCTGCGCTCGCCATCGGCCTCTATGCCTCCTACATCTCCCGCCTCGACGCCCCCTCCAAATTCGCCTACGGGTTCGTGAATCTCTTTTCAGGAATTTGAGACAGGTCCGTGTTCACTTGTTAGGTTTCAGTTCAGGTGACCTGTTCAGGTGAAGTGCATTGCTTGATGGCATGGCAGGCACTCTTGCTGTGATCTCGAAATTGCTTCTTGGCATGGTCCGAGTCTTAATGGCTTTGTTCAGTGTCTGTGCTGCATGCTGCACTGCATGGGTGCGTGTCCCATCTTCTCTGTTAATCATGACTTGTGTCATCCAGGTGACTTTTGAGTCGACTCAAAAGTCTCCCTTGCGTGTCCCATCTTCTCTGTTAATCATGGCTTGTGTCATCCCATCCCATCGCTCCCACACTATCTGCTCGGCTTCTCGCCCGCAGCTACGGTCGCTTTGAGGTGTTATCGGGCTTTGTGAATGCGGTCTTCCTAGTGCTCATCGCTGCACTCATCGTCTTCGAGTCCATTGAAAGGTGTGCCTTCGATTATGCACGAGATTCTGTAGAAGAATTCTCAAAAATCCACTGCAATCAGGCTGAATGCAGCCTTCTTAGTGCTCTGCTCATCGCCGCACTCATTGTCTTGGAGTCCATAGAAAGGTGCGCCCTCTTTCTGTCCATGGCTTCGATTCTCCCAAAACTTTTGAGTCGACTCAAAAGTCACCTTTCTGTCCATGGCTTCGATTCTCCCAAAACTGATGCATGTTTCTTGCTAGCCGTGTGAAAACACAACTGTTTCCTGCTGAGCATTCAAACCAAACAGCTTGATTATTTCATAGCCTTCTTTAGAGCTCGCTCCTGGGCCTGCAGAGCTTCACTCCTCTCTACGTATCCTTCTAGATCCTGGCTTCTTCACCCTCCGGCCTTCCACTTGTTGTCCCTTCTCGCTCCCTCATTCTCACTCCAGAATCCTGGACCCACCGGACATATCAACGGCGAACCTGCTGGCGGTGTCTGTGGGGGGCCTGGTGGTGAACATGGTGGGACTCGTGTTCTTCCATGAGGCCCACCACCACGCACACGGTGGCAGCTGCTCGCACTCCCACTCGCATGACCACTCCCACTCCCACGACCACTCCCATTCTCATTCTCACCATGAACATGAACACGAGCATGAGCATGGGCATGACCCTAGTGGGGCATGTTCCCATGCGCATCATGATCATGGGCATGGGCACGACCATCGTCTGGCGCATCAACACCACCACGACCATGGGCATAAGCATGATGATGACCATGGGCATGGGCATGAGCATGGGCACGGGCATGATTGCAACAGCCATTGTGTGCAACAGCATGATGGTAATCATCACCATGACCATGACGACAACAACCATCCCCATCATCACCATCACCACCACCACCATAAATCACATAGTCACCATGATGACAAGCATGCATGCGACCATGGGCATGGGCGTGGGCATGGGCATGGGAACGGGAACGGGCACGCACATGGGCATGAGGGGATTGCTGCAGCAGCAGCGGAGGACTGGGAGCAGGAGAATCAGGAAGATGCCAAGAGCAGCAGCACCTTCACCACCAGATCACTCTTACAGTCACCCATTTCAGTATCATCACCTTCGTATGAATCACCAGCGCTACCATCGTCAGGGGCAGAGAAACTTTTGGCCGTGCACAAAGCGAGGAGGAGAATAGGGCAAGGGGGTGCCGCTGCAGGAGGAGATGAAAGTTTTCAGGCGCTGCCCGTGAGGCTGGATTTTGAGGAGTGGGCAGGAGAAAGCAAGTCCGATGGGGAAGGAAAGTCGCACAAACAGGGGCATGAGCATGGGCATGAGCATGGGCATGGGCATGGGCATGGGCATGGGCATGAGCACGGGCATGAGCATGGGCATGAGCATGGGAATGGGCACTCACTTGAGCTTGAGCATGCTTATGAGAGTAAAGCCATGCCTCATGATTCCTCATGCTCATCGCTCAGCATGGATGTAGGAGGAGGGGATGGGCATGGGCATGGGCATGGGCATGGGCATGGGCATGGGCATGGGCATGAACATGGACACAGGCATGGGGAGGTGGGAGCTGGAGATGGGGAGGGAGGAGAGGCATGTGTGCAAGAGGTGCTCACATCCGGCAGTGCTCATGTGGACCACAACATGCATGGTAGGCTCTCCGCTCTTTCTTGCTCCCCACATGCTGCTTCGTTTCCTCTAGTCATAATCGCTCGTGTTCTCCTTCTATCCCTTTGCTCCTGCTGCCCAGCACTCACTCTCGAATCCTTCCCACCCATCGCCTCCTTGCAGGAATCTTCCTGCACGTGTTGGCAGACACACTGGGCAGTGTGGGGGTGGTGATATCAACGCTGCTCATCAAGTACAAGGGCTGGATGCTCACAGACCCGGTGAGGAGTGGACTGCAGACAAATGGGTAAGGGAAAGGAAATACAGGGACACATGCTGGCAGATGGGTAGTTCCTTGCACATGTTTTTAGAAGCCTTCCTTCCTCCCAAACATCTGCAGCCGTCTCTTTGCCCGCCCCTTCCCACTCAATTCCGCTTCGCGCCTCCCTTTCCACTCTCCCCCTTCTCTCCACCCCACCACCACCAGGCGTGCTCCATATTCATATCAGCGCTCATCATCAGCACTGTCATCCCTCTGCTGCAACGTTGCCCCTCCACTCCCCCTTATCTCCCCATATCTCCCCCTTCTCTCCACCCCACCACCACCAGGCGTGCTCCATATTCATATCAGCGCTCATCATCAGCACTGTCATCCCTCTGCTGCAAAACTCAGCCGAAATTATTTTGCAAAGAGTACCTCGGGCAGCTGAACACCAAATTTCGGCTGCCCTGAAGAAGGTGAGCAGTAGGCTTAGAAAACCTTGGCGCTTCCATCTAGATGCATCTAGGCTTTCAAAAGCACCTTCTGGGTCTCGTGATTGTTCTGGTCTGTTGGTAAACTTGATTTTCCTTCGTGCTGCACGCCCCATTCCATGCCCCATGCCCCACACCCTTTCCTTCTCAATCAAATGCTCCGCATTTTTCCAAATGCTCGAACCATCATCCCATTTCCAATGGCAGATTGAGTCGATGGCAGGAGTGGTGGCGGTGCGGCAACGGCACTTCTGGTCCTTCACTCCCAAGATGCTAGTGGGCTCCATTCACGTGCTCATCTCTCCAGATAGCCTCAAAAATAGGGCCGAGGAGGGAGGTGCAGCGGCGCATAATGGAGATGCTTATAGCGAGTACGGGGACAAGCAGCGGCGGCTGGAGGCGGTTCAGCAGCTGCGGCAGTTGTTGAGGCGGCGGGTTTCGGATGTATTCCGGGCGGTTGGGATCACTCACGTAACGGTTGAGGTGGGTACTGCACGGTGCACATATGCTGGAACTTGCATGCAGCCTCTCATGATACAAATCACAGGGCACAGCGCATGGGGCATGCTCCTAAATGGTTTACACCTTCCCACAGACTCTGAGTTCTTGTCTGAGTTCTAGTCAGGATGACATACCTTCCCAACTCAGCTCCTCATCTCACGCTTCATGATTTGACTGCTTCCCACTTCCCTACGCTCATGCACCTTCTTTCTTCCCGTGCCTGTGCGTATTTCTTTCTCTCCCAAACCTGTGCATGTTCTTTTCTCTCCTATGCCGGTGCATATTCTCTTGCGTCATGCAGATAGAGGAAGCATCGACTCACCACCTGCACCATCGGCACCACCATCATCCTCACCATTCCCACGCCTCGCCTTTCCACACCCTCTCCCATGCATTCTCCCCCCACGCTGCACAGTAACACACATTCACCTACTTTGCACTAGTGACCACCATGCAGCAACGTGTGCTGTGAGGATGATAACTCACTTCAGTGCCCACGTGGCTGTGCTGCTACCATATCTGCTGGCAAAGTGTGCGTTATCACTGCGTTAGTTTCGCATTCAGCACTGCAGCCAGCCACCCTAACTCTGCTACGCACAGTTTGTCCTAACCTGGACCAAGAAATAGCACCAGGGATATACAGGTACTACGCATGGCACCAGCACTGGGCCTAGCAGCTGCCTGATTGCAAAAATGATTCTTCCTGTCGAATTTACAACCCAGCTGATGAATGGAAGCCAACTAACCAGACACCATCAGCAGGATAAAAGCAGAGAGGACACAAGCAAGGCATTCAACAACCAGATTTTCTGTAGCTGAACCGCGAGAAAAAAACGAGTGAGCACCGGAAACAAAATAGAACGCTGCTTGAGGCAGCATGGCAGGTGAAGCAGAAGCAGCAGCATTGACCATTCCATTTCAACTTGTAAAACATACGGTATGGAGTTCAGCCTCGTCGCTCTTTCTCAACTTATTGCTGCCAGTCGCTCGATCACAGCATTGCAGAAGAAGCAGCGGGGGCTGTTAAGTCGGTGCCGTGCCACACAGCACTGACAGGAGGAGTGACCACAGGGGATGAACTGGGTGTCACTGGGAGCAGCATAGCAGATGACACAGGTAGGGCTCTCCTGCTCAGATTCGCTACACTCCTACAGGTGTCCTAACTCAGTGCTTCGCCGCCAGTCGCTCGATCACAGCATTGCAGAAGAAGCAGCGGGGGCTGTTGAGGCGGTGCCGTGCCACACAGCGCTCACAGGAGGAGTGACCACAGGGGATGAACTGGGTGTCACTGGGAGCCGCGTAGCATATGCTGCACATCTCCCCCTCTTCCTCCTCCTCCTCCTCCTCCTCCTCCTCACCTTCCCCCTCCCATGTACCAGCACCAGCAGCAGCACCATCCATCCCCTCTGCGGTGGTGCCTTGCTCTTGCATGTGCTCTTTGCCCTTCTTCCCGCGACCTGGGAGGTGCAGGAAAGGGAGGAGCGGTGAATTGGAGGTGAGACCAGGCGGATGGGGGCAGGGAGGGGCAAACTCGCATGGAGACAGAGGAAGAGGGCTGTGCCAGTTCCCATGTTGCCCGTTCCTTTTCTGCCCATTCCCATGCTGCCAGCTCCCTCCCATGCGAACACTCAGTGCCCATGCGTGTACGCTTACCTGCAGCGGCGGCAGCAGCAGCGGCCTCTGCTGCCGCCTTGCGAGCAGCCTGCTCCCGCCTGAGCTGCTCCACAAAGAGGCGCAGATCCGCCAGGCACGCTGATGGTGGGCTGCTGAACTCACTCTCCTGTGGTGGGCGCGGGAGGTGAGAAGGATAACGGGGTGAGAGGCGTGAGTGGGGCGAGAGGGGTGTGAGGGGTTAGAAGAGACGCAGGCGGCAGGGGGATGGGAGCGGGGCTGAGTGAAACCCTCTACCTCAAATGCCACCTCAGGTCGCCCACAGTGAGTTGGGACACCTACCACCCCCTCACTTCCCTCACCCTCCCACTAGCTTTCCCATTCCGCCCCACATTCCCCTCCCCACTCACCCAGTCGAACCCCAGCAGGAACTCCAGCCCGGCCAGACAGTCAAGGGAAGGGTCTGCCTGTAGCACCGACCGCACCATGCCAGCTGGCGCGGTCCCATTGGCCCGCTGAGCATGCGAGAACAGGCCGCCTATGATGCCCACGAGGGGGGCGAGCACCATGGGGCGCGATGATTGGTCGGATGGGGACACGTGGTCCTGCAGGACACTGCAGTTGAGGAGTGAGAGAGGGAGGCAGAGGGAAGTGGAGGGAGGTAAGGAGGGAGGGAGGGAGGGAGGGAGGGAGGGAGGGAGGGAGGGAGGGAGGGAGGGAGGGAGGGAGGGAGGGAGGGAGGGAGGGAGGGAGGGAGGGAGGGAGGGAGGGAGGGAGGGAGGGAGGGAGGGAGGGAGGAAGGGAGGGAGGGAGGAAGGGAGGGAGGGAGGAAGGGAGGGAGGAAGGGAGGGAGGAAGGGAGGGAGGAAGGGAGGGAGGAAGGCAGGGAAATGATGCACATGAAGAGAGCGAGCACCATGGAGAGGGAGGAGCGGTCTGCACTCACCGCAGGACTCTGCGGTGAGTGCAGGGCATTGGGACATGGAACGCTAGACCATGGGTGGAGCGAGCACTGTGGGGCTGGAGGGGGCAGTCTAGTGCTTGTCTCACCCCTCCTCACCTCACCTCACCTCACCTCACCTCACCTCACCTCACAATCTAAGCTGTTTTCGTGGAATCTTACCCATCAAGAGCACGGGCGTCGGCACCGGAGCAGGTGTGGTTGAGAATGAAGAGCAGCAGCTCAAACAGCCGCATGCGGTTCATCTCATAATACCTTTTACAGCACAAGCCGTTCCTGGATTTCAACCATTCTTACCCGTCAAGAGCGCGTGCATCAGCACCGGAGCACGTGTGGTTGAGGATGAAGAGCAGCAGCTCAAACAGCCGCATGCGGTTCATCTCAGGATCGAGAGAGCAGTCAGATGCAGAGGGAGCAGAGGATGCAGACGGCGCAGGGGATGTGGAGGAAGCAGGAGTGGTGGCAGGTGCAAGTGCTGTCATTGCTTCTCCTTCAGCTTCAATGGACTCTCTTCCTCCCTCTCCCTCGCCCTGAGTGACTAGCTCCACCCTGGCCCTGCTCCCCTCTTCTCCTCCTGAAACTCCTTGCATCTCTCCTTCACCTCCTCCTTCTCCTCCCTCTCCTCCTCCTCCCGCAGCTGCTGCTGCTCCTCCTGCTTCACCCCCTTCTAGAGCCTTCTCCCCTTTTTCCCGGCCCCCTCCCCCCTTCAAAGAGAGAAAAACCTCCGGAGAAGCCTCACAGAGAACTTCCAAAAGCCTAGCAAGGTTACAAGTAAGGTCAAACATGACACTGCACTTGCGCTGCTGCAGCTCCCACGCCTGCTGCTGCTGCTGCTGCCGCCGGTTCCGCCGCCGCCGCTGCTCCTCCTCCTGCTGCTGCAAGTCCTGCACCTCTTTCAAAGCCACCAGGAATTCTGTGAGAGTCCAGTTGAGAGTGTTGAAGAGGCGGTTTAGGAAAGGAGAGAAGAGGCTCGGCTGGTGCAGGTAGAGCTGGTGGAGGGAGTGCTGGAAGAGAGGCGCGAAGAGGGAGGGCGTGGAGGAGGAGGAGGAGGAGAGGGAGAGCGAGGGGAAGCTGGAGGGGCCTCCGAAGGGGTTGGTCACACAGAGACGCAGGAGAATCTGGGTGGTGGGTGGGGGAGAGAGGTGCAAGGTGGTTGTGTATCAACGGAGAGAGGTGCAAGCTGGTTGTGTATCAACGGAGAGAGGTGCAAGCTGGTTGTGTATCAACGGAGAGAGGTGCAAGCTGGTTGTGTATCAACGGAGAGAGGTGCAAGCTGGTTGTGTATCAACGGAGAGAGGTGCAAGCTGGTTGTGTATCAACGGAGAGAGGTGCAAGCTGGTTGTGTATCAACGGAGAGAGGTGCAAGCTGGTTGTGTATCAACGGAGAGAGGTGCAAGCTGGTTGTGTATCAACGGAGAGAGGTGCAAGCTGGTTGTGTATCAACGGAGAGAGGTGCAAGCTGGTTGTGTATCAACGGAGAGAGGTGCAAGCTGGTTGTGTATCAACGGAGAGAGGTGCAAGCTGGTTGTGTATCAACGGAGAGAGGTGCAAGCTGGTTGTGTATCAACGGAGAGAGGTGCAAGCTGGTTGTGTATCAACGGAGAGAGGTGCAAGCTGGTTGTGTATCAAAAGATCAGAAGGCGAATCTCCTGGAGGCGTGAAATGGGTTGAAAGAAATTGCTGAGCTGTGAAAAAGAGGAGGAGCATATGCGTGAAGGCAATGGGGAGTCACCTGGGAGACAGAACCCTCCTGAGAGGCAGAGACACCTGAGGAAATACCTGAGAGGCAGAGACACCTGAGGAAATGCCTGAGAGGCAGAGACACCTGAGGAAATACCTGAGAGGCAGAGACACCTGAGGAAATACCTGAGAGACGGGTATCCAGAAGCGCTGGTCAAATGCGTTGAGAAGGCTGGGCATGAAGCATGTGCGGGCGGCCTTGTTTGTCTCTAGTGCGACGGAGAAGGGCGGCAGCTGTAGCAGCACGGAGAGCGTCTGCAGCAGCTGGTCTCTGGTGTCTGGATTGGCGATCCTTGCATCGCTGAACCGCGTGAGCAGGAAAGATATCTGCGAGAGAGAGTTACACACATGCACGGACAGGGCATTAGAGAGTGGGAGTGTAAAATGGGGTTTTTTCCTGTCTTGAAGACAGAAGGAGGGGTATGTCTTGAAGACAGAAGGAGGGGTATGTCTTGAAGACAGAAGGAGGGGTATGTCTTGAAGACAGAAGGAGGGGTATGCGCAAGAGCGAGAAAGTCGGGTAACGGGATGGAGATTCGAAGAGGGGGATCAGAGTGAGAGGGCATGCCGGTGCAACCATGCCGGTGCAGGTGCAGGTGCAGGTGCAACCATGCCGGTGCAGGTGCAGGTGCAGGTGCAGGTGGTAAGAGGGTCAAGCCTGATGGATGTTGTCGGGCTTACGAAGGGAGCGAGGTGATGCACGGAGTGGCGGAGTCGGAAGAGTGGCGGGTCGCAGCGCCTGAAGGCATGGAAGGCCTCGATCTGCAGGGGCAAGAGACATGAAGGACACGGCGACATGAAGGACACGGCGACATGAAGGACACGGCGACATGAAGGACACGGCGACATGAAGGACACGGCGACATGAAGGACACGGCGACATGAAGGACATGGCGACATGAAGGACACGGCGACTTGAAGGACACGGCGACTTGAAGGACACGGCGACATGAAGGACACGGCGACATGAAGGACACGGCGACATGGGGGACACGGCGACATGAAGGACACGGCGACATGAAGGACACGGCGACATGAAGGACACGGCGATATGAAGGACACGGCGACATGAAGGACACGGCGACATGGGGGACACGGCGACATGAAGGACACGGCGACATGAAGGACACGGCGACATGGGGGACACGGCGACATGGGGGACACGGCGACATGAAGGACACGGCGACATGAAGGACACGGCGACATGAAGGACACGGCGACATGAAGGACACGGCGACATGGGGGACACGGCGACATGAAGGACACGGCGACATGAAGGACACGGCGGCATGGGGGAAAAGGGGTGCGGGAAGAGGGGCGGTGGGAAAGGTGGGAGAGAAGGGGTGAGGGTTGCGGAAGCAGATGGAGGGATGAAGAGAAACGAGTCAAAAGATGCGCCATCCCGACACCATGGCAGCAGATAAGGGTAGATTCGACCCACATCACCAGACATCACCAGACATCACCAGACATCACCAGACATCACCAGACATCACCAGACATCACCAGACATCACCAGACATCACCAGACATCACCAGACATCACCAGACTTCACCAGACTTCACCAGACATCACCAGACATCACCAGACATCACCAGACATCACCAGACATCACCAGACATCACCAGACATCACCAGACATCACCAGACATCACCAGACATCACCAGACTTCGCTCGTCCTATTCTCCACTAATCTATGCTAGGCTCAGTAGGGATTACGGAAGCAAGGAAACTGTCATTCCAAGACTGAGCGTACGCGTGTTTCGGCCGATGGCCTTCGTCAGCGCTTCACACAGCAACCCGCCTGGCTTCCAGTACACCTCCCGCCTGGCTTCCAAATAGACCTCGGGCACGTAGGCAAAGATGTGGCCCCGCTTGCTGGCAGCCGGCAGCAGCTAGTTCCACTCTTCTCTACCCCATACCATGATCACACAAGACAGTAACCCATATGCCCTCAACATAGACAGCAACGCACCATTGCTTCCAAATAGACCTCGGGCACGTAGGCAAAGATGTGGCCCCGCTTGCTGGCAGCCAGCAGCAGCGAGCCCACCCTCCTGCTCACCCCCACCAGCGCCCTCTGCTTCCACGCAGCACCGCCCAACACCGCTCTCCACCACACTGCAAGCCTCACACTCTCATCCACGTCCTCTCGGAACACCTGTCTCGCCTCCCTCAGCTGCTGCGCCCGCACTGACCCTCCCACGCCCACTCTGGATGTACCTCCCCCGGATGTACCTCCCCTGGCTGCAGCCGCAGCTGTACCTCCCCCCGGTGCTCCAACAAGTCCCACTGTTGCTGTCACTGCGGGTGCCTCCGCCCCTACTGCTGCACCAGTGCCTGCAGCACCCACGACAGCCCCCTCTTCTTCCCCTGCCACTCTCCTTACTCCTGCCGCCGCCCCCGCCCCCGCCCCCCCCCCCCCTGCCCCTGCCCCTGCCCCTGCCCCTGCCCCTGCCCCCGTCCCCGCCCCCGCCCCCGCCACCGACCCTGACCCTGTCGCCGCCACTGCGCCTGCCTCTCCGTCTGTCGCACCTCCCTCCGTGCGCCCCCCCATGGCAGCGGCGATCTGCCTGTCCGCATCTTCCAGCTGTGCCACCGCCTGCACCATGCCCTGCTGCTGCAGCGCCGCCTGGGGAGGGTTGAAGCGGGAGGCAGAAGGGAGGGGAGGGAGCGGAGGGAAGGGAGGATGGAAGGGAAGGACGAGAAGGCAAAAGCCTGCAGATGAGAGGAAAGGAAAGGAGGTGGGGAAGGGAGAGAAGGAGGGTGCAGTGGCAGCGGGCCGCAGGAGCAGCCAACAGCATGAGTATAATGGCCTGTGTGGGACGCACGTGATAAAAAAAACATTTTGAGACGTCTCAACATGTTACTTTTATTTTGAGTCGACTTGTTTTGAGTCGACCCAAAACAGGTCTCAAGATGTTACTTTTATCAAGCAGCCAACAGCATGAGCATTATGGCCTGTGAGGCAATCACACTGACTGACTGACTGACTGACTGACTGACTGACGGACGGACGGACCTGTTTGAAGGCACCCACGCCCCTGAGGTGGAACAGCAGCACGGCCATGTCCAGCAGCAGCACCTCCCTCTCATCCTCCTCCCCCTTCCCCCTCTCCGCCTTCTCCTCAACCCTCTCCTCCCCCTCACGTTCTCCATCCCCCTCACTCCTCCCTCCTCCCATTTCCCTCTCTTGCACCCCCTCTGCTCTCCTCCCCCCGCCTGCTCCCCCTCCTTCCCCTGTACCTCCTCCCCCCGTCCCCCGCTCCTCCCTTCTCCTCTCCCCCGTTCCCCCACCCGCCTCCTCCTCCCCCTCCTCTCCCGCCGCCCAATGATCATCATCCACGTCATCATCAGTCCATGTCACGCTGGCAAAGTCCTGCGGCGCGGAGAGGGGGAAGGTCTTGGCCACGTGGCTAAAGAGCCCGCCCAGGCGTGGCAAGTCAAAGTAATGCAAATCCGGGTGCAGGAATAAGGGCACAGGAAACTTCCACCGCCCGTGGCGCTGCAGGTAACCCCCTGCAGGGATGGCAGCAGTGCTGGTGGCACCTGTGCTGGTGCCCGCAGTGGCAGTGGCTGTAGTAGCTGCTATGCTGCTGCTGCTGCTATCCAAGGCACTGCTTGCCTCTTGTCGCTCCCTCCAGCTGCTCCTAATGGCCCCAGAGGGGGTTCTTGGCCACGGAAGCATTGATACTTCCTCGCTCTCTTCCTCCTCTTCCTCTTCCCCCTCCTCCTCCTCCTCCTCTTCCTCCTCCTCTTCCTCCACTTCCCATCCCTCCCTCTCTACCTTCCCCACCCGCCTACCCTCCCTCCCTGACGTTCCTTTTTCAAAATCAACCTCCATTCCCTCTGCTTCTCCCTCTCTTCCACTCCCTGATTCTACTAAGACATGTGACCCTCTTAAAACCCCAGCTCTCTTTGTCTTCTGCAGTTTCCCGCCTCCACGGCCCACCAGCCCCGCCCACAACAGCCGCAAGAGGACAAAAAACGCCGTCACCAGCACGCTACTATCCGAGAGCCCGGGCGGCACAATATTCCTGTTCGCCGCCCGGTTCTTGCGGATCAGGCTCCTCAGAAACGGTGCAAGCACGCCGCCAGTTGCAAGCGAATAAGTCGACGAAGCCCCGGTCATGCTCTTAGAGGGTACAAAGAAGAGGAGAGAGCGGCAGAGCGACACTTGGCAGAGCTCCACCCTAGACGTTGCCTTCACAAGTGCCTTCTTGCTTTCTTCCAAGCCTGCTTCGCTGCAGTCGTCCTCCTTACAGCCAGCCCACCACAGCGAGGGAAACAGCCTCTGCAGATCCACCCTTGTGGCTACTCTGCGGGTCAAGAATGCCTCTAGATTGGAGGAGAATCCGTCTGCTGCCCACCATGCGCTTAGCACCTCCTGTCGCTTAGCTAAGTGGCAGGCCAGGGATAGGTACAGGTACGGATCCCGCCCCTCTTGCCAAACCTCTGGGGGTTTTCCCGAGCCGGAAACTGCTTCTGCTCCTGCACCGGCTAGGTTCGGCACTGTGAACGCAGCCGAACCTACGAGGGAGGTTCGGGAGTGGAAGGCTAGGGCGTCCATGAGGGCCGGGATGATCCCGGACCACTCATGGTCCTCCAGACACAGGTGAAGCGAGTCCATTACTCCGTCCACCATCCTCCACCCTTGCTGCTTTTGCTGCTGCTGCTGCTGCTGCTGCTGCTGCTGCTGCTGCTGCTGCTGCTGCTGCTGCTGTGGACTGTGTCTGCTTGCACCCTGCTTCCCCCCACCTGTGTTTAGCCCCTGTCTGGGCGCCAGTTGGAGGAGTAGAGGCAGCAGGGAGGCCCATACAGCATACCCCCCTCGCACCCACCCCACACCCTCTGCCACTCCCCCCCCTCCTTTGCCCTCCCCCGCCCTCCTCCCCATCTGTCTCTGCACCTCCATTCGTGCCCCCCCTGCCAGCAGCAACGGCCCGAGCCTCTCACACAGGAGCTCCGCCAGGAGAACCTCGTCATCCGGGCCTAGCGGACAGGTTCGGAATGGCAGGCTCGATGGGGGGCTGTGGGGGAGCGAGGAGGAGGAGGTATGTGGAACAGGGGAGGAGAACGAGGAGGGGAGGGAGGAGGGAAGGGAGGTGAGGTGCAGCAGGCGAGAAAGGCAGTGGAGGAGGTAGGAGGAGCACGCAGCTGCATCCAAGTCTGCAACGCGAGGGGCACCTGCTGCGCTGTCTGCTGTGCGTAGATGGGAGTGCGGGTGGGGCGAGGTGGGTTGCAGGGTAGGCAGGAGGAAGTGACCGACGTGGGTGGGGAGTGAGGCAGGGTCGATGGGAGGTGGAGGCGAATGCACGGGAGCAGCAGCAGCAGCACTGTCGGTAGGGGCAGAAGCCGCAGCAGCAACATCTGTAGCAGCGGGGGCAGCAGTAACAGCACCCGTGGCAGCAGCTGTGGCAGCAGCTGTGGCAGCAGCTGTGGCAGCAGCCGTGGCAGCAGCCGTGGCAGCAGCACCAGCAGCAGCATCCACTGCATCTGTAGCAGCAGAGGGCATGGGCCAGCACAGGCGAGGTGGCGACTGCAGCGGGAGGAACCCGGTAACCGGGTAACGAAACGGGCGGGCACCGAAGTTAAGCTCGCAGCGCTCCCCGTGGGAGATGGAGATGGCTGGGAAGTAGGCCAGGCCCCTCTGTAGCGCCTTCACTCCTGTGAAGGCCACTCCCAGACACTCCCCGTTGCGGTAGAATGTCACTCTCCCCACTGCCGTGCCACCACTGGATGCCCTACCAGCAGCACCAGCACCAGCGGCACCAGCACCACCGCCACTCCTTCTGCCACCACCAGCACCAACACTACCAGCAGAACCAGCAGCAGCAGTAGCATCAGCAGCAGTACTACCACCAGCAGCAGCAGCAGCTTCCGAACCTGCACCCTCTCCTCCCGCCACACCGCCATCCCCCTCCAGGTCAATACAGCAGCCAATCACATCATGCGCCGCCCACGGCTGCCCATACTGCGCGGACCACCCACTCCACTTCCGCACCCTCTTCCCATCAAAAGCATACGAGTCAGGCGCGTCCCCCACGCCCTCCTCTGCCGTGAACGGGCACGCCAATGTCGCCCAGCCAATCTGCTGAATGCCGGAGGAGCCTAGAGTCGCCTCGTACTGCCACCTGCCCGAGTAGACGCACACATTGGCGCGCGCGCTGCTGAAACTGCTTAGGGATTCGAGAATCAGGCCGCCTCCTAGGTCCTCTCGTGCACTGCCTCTGCCTCTTGACCGGCCCCCTGCTGCTCCCCTTCCTGCTCCTCCTCCTGCTGCTGCTGCTCCCGCTCTGCCCAGGGACTCTAGCAACAACCCTTCCCATCCTACCCCCCCGCCTCCACTTCCCCCTCCGCCCGCTTCCCCCCCTGCGCCCCCCCCTGCGCCTGCCCACTCGATCCCCTCGATTTCAACCCCCTCCATGTCCTCCTCCGCCCATATGCTCCGCAGCGCCGCAGCAGCATCTGCAATCCCCCGCCCGCGGCTGCTCCCCACACCCCCACCCTCCGCCTCCCCTTCCGCCCCTCCCCCCGCCCTTTCCGCCGGCCCCCATGGCCCGCCCCCTTCCACCTTAATCTCCCCAGAGAACGAGCTACGTACCATGTAGACTATAGGCGGTCCTAATCTGCCTATTAGGCCTTCCGCGGCGGGATTGGTTATGGTACTGCCGATGCTACTCCTGTTACTTGTGCCGCCCAAATCTTGTCGTCTAGGAGCTCTAGATTCGCTGATCTTTGCCATCTGCAAATCCAGGAAATCGCTGATACGATCAAGGTCGAGATATCCTCCACGTGTCCATCTCCCACTGGTGGACGGCATGGGAAGCTTATCCGCGGTATAAGTCTCTTCAGTGTTTCGATCCGACATCACCACATCCCCGCTCTCATCCAACAAGTCTCTTCCCTGTCTTGTCACAAGTCCCCCGCCTTCCTCCTCCAACCGCCCTTCCGCTTCTTCCGCCGCCGAACGCGCTCCCTTCCCGTCAGTCCCCCCATCAGCGTCTCCCCGCAAAATAAAATTCACGGCGGCCTGAAAATCCGCCTGAAAATCCTCCTGAAATCCCGCCGCGTGTTGCGCTGGCACCGCATCTCGCCCGCACCGCTCCCTTACTCCACACTCGAAATCCTCCAAAGTGATAATCTCCAAAAGCGGAGCGGATTGTATCGGGGACGGCGCCAGCAGCTCCGCTAAGCCTCTCCGCGAACTCTCCATGTCTGTTTGGCAGATGGCAGGCGTGTCTCACCCGCACGTGCACTGCAGTGGGCGCAACAATGCTCGAGAAGAAGCCGTGCCGCGGATAGAAATGATGAAGGCTGCAGGAAGATTCGACAGCGAGCACGGAAAGACAGCGACGATGAAAAGCCAGGAAAGCCACGAGGAAACAAGAGACAACGCAAGGCAAGGCAATAGATGCGGTGCGGGAGCTAGGATATCTCATGGAAAACCTGTGCTTGTTCCCGCCGTCAAGTATCTCATGTCAGCAGAAATCAGGTCGCATGAAGTAGAGCGAAATGTGTGTTCGCGGAATGTGTCATGTGTAAGTGTCTCCTCTACCAATCTGAAGTGTCGATAACATGGATTGTTTAGTTATCTCATTTCACAGCTGAAACATTCCCTTTACAACGTCAATAATGTCAGAAGCATTAATGGCATCACATTGAAAACAGTACATGCTACATCCGAAATTGGTCCACACCTGTCTTGAAATGGCTCCCTATAACCACCATCATTGAAAAAACATTGTACGTGATTATTGTAATTGTACTAGATACTACGCCAAACCTACCGTACATTGTTTCAATTATTACATTAGATTTATTACATTCTGTTGCGATCAGAAGTTGATCGTTCTCAGGATCACCTCAGGAAGGTTCGCAGACTACTGATTTAGTGGTGGTGGGCCCTTGACCTCAATAGCAGAGTGAATGTAAATGCTTGAGATGATGAAAACATGCAAATACTGTTGGGCTGAAAAACCCTTAGGATCTTTGCAGGGGTGAACTCCGGGTAGAGTTGGTGTAGTAGCGGAAGCGTTGATTAAAGGATTGTGAACCACCTTGCGCTAGTATGTGAGGGCAAAGTAAGTTGATTAAAGCAAAGAGATACAAGATTATATATGAATACAGGGAATATGAAAGACACTGTTATAACTACTTTACTGTTGCTGTTGCGGTTAGATACAGTGACGACTCGGGCAACTGCTCTGTAAAGAGCCAGTTGTGTGTCCTTGCTGTCGCGCTGTATTTGTCAGGTCAAAGGTTGCTGACCTTTGACTTTCGCGTAACCTCCGACAGTTACTTCAACCTCCGAGGGTTGACTCGCTGGTGCTTCGATAGTGTTTTGCTTCGCTTGTGTCTTGGTGTTTCGACACGACAGAGGCGCTTAGGACCGATTGTTTCCAACACTCCCCTTCGCTTCTGGAGTGTCGCTGACGTGGCTCTGTCCAGTCAGCAGCATGCAGTATTCGAACTTCTGCTTTCCGAGCTTCTTGGTCAGGTAGTCAGCTGCCATCTCGGACGTGGGACAATATGACAGCTCGAGCCTTCCCTTCGCGATCTCGTCCTTCACGAAGAAATATTGCAGGGCGATGTGTTTCGTCCTGTTCGCGAAGCCGTTCTTGTTGGCGACGCGAATTGCCGACTGGTTGTCGCAGAACAGGGTAAAGTTGGGTAACTCGGCTAACTTCGCTTCTTCCAGCAGCTCGCGAAGATAGAGTCCTTCCTTGGTGGCTGAGCAGAGTGCAATATATTCTGCTTCAGCTGACGAGAGAGCAATTAATTCCTGCTTGCTCGATTGCCAAGAGATAGGTCCGATAGGTTCGAGACGGTAGATGTAGCCGGTGCGGGAGCGCCTATTGTCGGAGACGCCAGCGTGATCAGCGTCGACGTAGCCGATTAACTTAGTCGGTGTGGTTGCGTTCTTGTAGTAAGTTAGGCCGATCGTTGGCGTGCTGACGAAGTAGTGAAGAGCGCGGTCGAGCTTCGCCAGATGTTCTACTTCAGGCTTCTTGAGGTAGGTGGCGAGCTGGCTTGCGGAGTATGAGAGGTCGGGGCGACAGGTGACGGCTGCAAAGAGAAGACATCCCAGCTTCTTCTGGCAGTCTCGTATGCCGGCGGGCTTAAGTAGAGCGGAGCTTCCTTGGTCGTTCCCTGCCGTGTATTGGTATGGCGTGGAGATGGCTGTCGGTTTGAGCGTAAAGCGTTTAGCGATAGTGTCAGCATATTTCTCGGCGCTGAGGTAGATCGCGTCCTCCTCTTCCCGGATGTTGAGGCCGAGGTACTGAGTGACGGTAGATGAAACTGTGAGCGTGAGATCTTGACGCAGCTCCCCTTCAAACCAGGTAGTGATGCCGTCAGTTGAGCCGATGTAAAGGAGATCGTCCACGTAGACGATTAGTAGGATGTAGTCGTCATTTTTTGTGAGCCGGTACATTCCTTGATCGTGCGGTACTTGCTTGAAGCCGATGCGGATGAGGCGAGCATGCAGGTACTGTTGCCACAGTCGCGGAGCCTGCTTGATGCCGTAGAGTGACTTGAGTAGTAGGCAGACTTAGTTGGGTTCTCTGTGGGAGCCGTGCGGTAGCTCGACGAAAATTTCTGCATCAACAGGTGCGTAGAGAAACGCGTTCGCGACGTCAATTTGTCGCATCTTCTTCTTCATGGCGGCGATTGCGAGGAGAATGCGTAGTGAGGTGTGGCGGCTAACCGGAGCGAAATTTTCGGTGAAGTTTCGTCCATGTTCTTGGTCGAAGCCGCGTACAACCCAGCGAGCTTTAAATTTGTCAATGGTGCCGTCAGCCTTTGTCTTCACACGGAAGACCCACTTCCCGGTGAGCAGTGTCTTGTTCCGTGCCACGCCGATAGGAACCACTTTCCACGTGTTGCGTTCCTCCAGTGCCTTCAGCTCCTTGTCCATGGCTTCGCGCCATTTTTCCTTATGCTCCCCCCCTAGAGCCTGTTGAACTGTCGCAGGCTCTTTAGGAATGGCAGTGCCGTGGACTGGGGTGACGAGTCCGAGAATTTGCAGTCCACTCTGTGAGTAGCGGGGAAGATTTGTGTCCTCGGGATAAGCTGCTTCATCTCCCGCTTCTGGATCAAGTATGAAGTTTGGTCCTACTCGTTCTGCTTCGTTGGTGTTGACTGTTGCAGGTGTTACGTAACCGTTGTCGGCGAAATGGTAGAAGGTTTCGGCGTTGACACTTTCGCGAGGGTTATCTTCGTCCATGGGAACGTCGACGGAGCAGAACGGAAGAGGTCCGGCTTCTTCTGATGCGTTCTCCATATGCTGCTCGTCCCAGTCAGCTTCGTCCGCTGCTGAGGCAAAGGCTCGGTCACCGCGAAAACCACCTGTGGGATCCTGGTCTTCTTGCAGGTTGGCAAGGTATGTCTGGAGCGTGAGTCGTTCATAGAAAATTACATCACATGCTGCTACAGTTTCCTTTGAGTGGACGTCGAAGATTTTCCACGCGTTGTAGTTCTTTTCGATGCCCAGGTGTAGTCCCCACTGTGCTCGATGAGAAAATCGGCCCACTCATGCTGCTGGGGGTCGGTACTGTACCATGCATCCAAATACTCGTAACATTTTTGTGCTGCCCTGTTTCCCCGTCCATAGCAGATGCGGTGATGCGTTGTTTGGAAGCGATGATGACGAGAGCAAGTTGTGCAGCATGACGGCGTGGTGCATTGCCGCAGGCCACTGGTGGTTGGGTAGCCGCATGCCACGTAGCAGTTTGCGCATGCTGTTCTGCAAGGTCCTGTTCATTCTTTCTGCTACACCTTGCTGCTGATGGGCGTAGGGAAGGGAGATGAGTCGCTTAATTCCCCTTTCCGCCAGGTACTGCTTGAATCGCTGAGAGGTGTATTCTCCTCCTCCGTCGGACTGGAAGCTTTTCAGTTTCACGTCCGATTATCTCTCTGCTACTGGTAGCCAGGCAACGAAGGCTTCGAATGCCATGTCGCGGCTAGGGAGGTTTAGGTGCCAGACGTAACGGGTGGCGGCGTCGATGAAGGTGATTGTACAGTTGTATATTACTTGTCCTGGTTCCCGATTGAACAGGATGTTGCTATACACCTTCTCGACTGGTGCGTACGCGGGTGCGCTCGGGTTGTGATGAGACGCAAACGGTCGATGTGGTAAGTCACCTTCAGGGCAGGTGAAGCACGTTCCGCGTACTCGTTGAAGTTCTCGTCCGTCGGTCAGTAGGAGTGAGTCCTTGTCGAGTACTCCTGCTCTTATCGTATTGTTTAATACTGTGTTGCTTGGGTGTCCCATCCTTGCGTGCCAGGTGCTTTCGTCGGCGCGATGTCCGGGTGATCGTCGGTACATATCGGAGTTGGAGTAGAAGTTGGCGGTGAAGTTGGCGCTACGATGAACTTCTCGTGGTGCTGGGTGTAGTTGTTGCGCGGGTGTTGGTGGTGTGTCGTCGATGAGGAGCGGTGTCGTTGAAGGACCAGCAATTGGTGTTGACGTTCCTGCTGCTGCCGTTGATGGTTCAGCTACTGCCGATGTTGTCTCTGCTGCTGCCGATGTTGTCTCTGCTGCTGCCGATGTTGTCTCTGCTGCTGCCGGTGTTGTCTCTGCTGCTGCTGATGTTGTCTCTGCTG